AAATCAAAAACGTAAAAGCTCAACTTTTACTTTTAAAAAAACAAATCGTTCTCATGGTCAAACAAATACAATTCAAAACCAACCAACAATTGTTGGTAGTTATTTGAATTTGATGGAAGGAGAGAAAGCAATTGTCTGTGTAATCAGAATGAGAAAATCTGACAACTCCACGATAATGATTCCTGTCCTTTTCAAAGTTGACCAGGATCTTATTCCTTCTGAGGTTATACCACTTGTTATAAGTACAAATAACCTCATTCTTGTCGATGTAAATGGTTGCAATGCTTTTGCCGCCATGATAGTATCTATCGGAGGTAAGATATACTTTATTACTTTATTTGAAAAGATTCTATTTTTACAAATAATCTTATTCTTTTTCTCCTCTAGATGATTCGAAAGATCTTTTCGAAAAATATTCTGTTTTCTGTGAAAAAAACGCTGCGAAATTGAAAAGTTTCGAGACGAAGATCACGAATTGGTTACCCGTTCAGAATATAGTTATATCAAGATTCATGGAAAAGCATTTACCTTATACTTCAGAGGAAGATTTGGCAAAAATAATGAAACGAGTCGATATTCTTCAGCGTGAGGAAAGAAATAAAGATCAGCCAGAATTAGTTACAGAAATTGATCCTATTCCCTCAACCTCTACGTCTCGAATAACAAGATCATCAAAACCAGTTACCCGGCTTTCCTCCAAAAATAATGAAGTAGAAATTATTCTTGACTCAACTAGAAAAGAATCTTCAGAAAGCAAAGGGAAAGGCAGAAAAATTTCACCGATAAAAGAAACTTCTGTTTCCATGAAAATCAATCGATTAAAAGAACTTACGGATAAATTGACAAATAATCAGACTGTACAAGCTGCTTTCAAGGAAACCATAAAGTTGTTTGAGTCAATTATCTATTCTAAAACTCTAAATGACGTTATGGAGATCGAAGAAAAAGAAGAAAATCTCAACGATTATTCTGAAGTTCGTATCATTCCAAAGAAAGATAAAACTGAAACTGTTGGTGATATCACTATGATTGAAGGTATTTTGCCTGTTAAAACAAAGAAGTACGTTGCTGCTCTTTCAAAAGGCCCGACAAAAGGTCATATATCAGAATTCGAGCCGAGTATGATTCTCACGAACTTGGTCAGGTTCGCTTTTCCAACGCATTGGTTAGTAGGCGTAACAGTGAAAGGAAATAGTGGCAACAAAAGTCTCACCTATGTTTGGAATTATCAAAATCCTATCGCTGATCCATGTGAAGGTAATTTCAAAAATGGGCTCGGAGAGAAGCGTTTGAGAGCACTAATTGGTAAGTAGATTAAATTCGAAATAAAAATATAAAATTCTAATAGAATATTTTCTTTTTCTACAGATCATGTAGTGAGAAAATCAGGAAAAGAATCTTATGATCTAGCTGTTGAGAAATTTTTGATGACCATGTTGTGCAAGGCGATGCACGCATCTCGAAAAAAGTACTTGTCCAACTTGCCAAAGAAAAAAAAACGAAATTCTATTGTTCTCGAAGATTTATCAGATTATGATTCAGATATGGATCTTTCTTTATCTCTTTCACAACGAATGGGTGGATCAGGCTCAGCGAGACCAGCCATATACACCGATTCAGAAAACTCTCAAATTGAACAAGAGGATGGCGAAGAACAAGAAAACATTCCTGGTGATCACATTGAAGAAAACATTCCTGTTGATCCCGTTGAAGAAAATATTCCTGTTGATCCCAATGAAGAAAACATTCCTGTTGATCCCAATGAAGAAAACATTCCTGATGAATTTCTAGAAGAAAATGTTCTTGTTGAGTCTTATGATGACGATCTTTTTAGTGATGCTCATTTGAACAATGATATTGCGGAAACTGAGAATAATTTTGACAGTGAAAAAGTTCCAGAATCGGATAATGATGAAAGAAGTGATAATCCAACTAATGAAGATTGTCCTGGTTCAACAAACTCTGAATCTGAAAAGATTCCTACTCAATCTCAAATAAGAATTGAATCATCAAACCTTACATATGAAAGTAATGATGATGTGACTGAATTCGGGCCGAAACTTACATCTTCTCCTAAAAGGAAAGATAATGAAGAAAATGTTCACGCAGCTCCAAAGAAGCGGAGATCGTCCGCTAAGGTGCAACAATCAAATCCGATTTCATTCATTGCAATCAATGAAAATACTACAGGAGAAGATTCACAAAAGCAAGGAATTGAATCAACAACAGATGAAGAAAGTGAACAAATTCCGGATCCATTTGATTTTCTTACACCTGAAGATAAAATTCTATTGGAAACTTTACCAGAAAACGATCGTAAATTGATTAGTCAATTATCAGATCGAAATATTATCTTGTCTATTCTCGCAACGAAAAAAGGAACCACACAACGATAAGTTCACTATTGAAATTTCTTACCTATTTCCAAAACAAAATATCACAATATTATTATCAGAATCAAAAAATTTCCCAGAATTTTTTCAACAAATTTTCAAGCTCAAGCTTATGTATTCGTTGAATTTTTCAATTTATTTTCATATTTGCCAAAATTTAAAGCTTCTTTACTTTCCCTCTGATTAACAACAGTGAAAGTTGAAATTGATTTTTTTCTTAAGTGAAAGGTCAAATAACTCAAAAGGTTGTTTCTTAGGGAAAAGTATTTTAGAAGACTTACTTCCCCCTAGTTAAAATTGTTTCAGCAATAAATTCATTTCTCATATCCGTTTCCGAGCAATTAACAATATAAATGTGTTTTGAATTTTTTCAATGATTTCAATTACGTCGTGAAAGTCGATCAATCATGTCTCAACCAAACTTTGAACAAGCTAAATTTAATTTTTCTTCAAGAAAGTCATCTACTCAGCCACTTCCGAAAAAGATATTCTCTGTGACTCGTTTAATTGAAAATTCATCAACTAAATCGAGAGATAAATTTCTTAATTCAAGTGCTAAAAGTGCAATGTTAAGATCATCAACGTTTCATAATTGTGATAATGATGAAAGTAAATTAGCTATTGTGTTACCATATATTCTTGACAGTGATTGTGTTCCGATCAAACAACCAATTCTTGTTCGAATCGATGAAAATCAATTGAGATCATTCGGATTTTCATTGCCATTCAATGATTTTTTCAACGTGAAGATGAATAACTTTGTCTTTGAAGTTAAAAATTTAAAAGTTTCTACTCAAATCATCGCAATCGCAGGTAAGGAAAGTATTTTTAAGATTCAAGAATTTGATAAAGTTATTTTTCTCATCCGAATAGAATCTAAAGAATCATTGAAAGAAAATCTCAAGAAAAATATTTCTAAGAATCAACTCTGGAAAGATATTCGACAAGTGATTGGTAATGATGAGCTCGTCATTAATCTTATTCACGCTCCTCTTGAAGAAGATGAGACACCATCACAGGTTTGCTTGAGCCAAAGATCGATAATAGAATTGGTAAATAATATATCAAATAGAGAAATTCAGAAAAATAACGAAAAAGATTCCGGCGTTGGTGAAAAAAGAAAAAAATCTAATTCCGGTGAGAACGATAATCTGGCAAAGAAAAAGGCTTTCGACGAGAATCAAGATGATAGAATGGAAAAAGACGCTTCTGATGGACAAGACGAAAACAACGACCTGTCCAAGTTGTTACAAATCAGTAACAATAAAAATTTATATATCGAGGAGCTAATTAAAAGTGCCAAAGATCTTGATTCAAAGAAACATTTTCTTAATGATAAAGATTATCTGAGCTCAACATTGATCTTATCTATTGAGGTTATTCAGAGTCTTGTTGGTTTTGTTACTAAACAAACTGGAAAGATGGAAATTTATTCAATGATTCCTGAGAAAGATGAAACTGTTGTGAAGCGTAGAAAGGTTAGAATATAATCTTATTCTTGTTTGTTCACACTAACATTAATATTTGAATTTCTATTATTTTTCAGAATCGAATATTGATCGAAGGTATTGTTGAGTTAGAGCTTGATAAATATGAAAGAGCACTCATCAAAGTCAAGTCAAAAGATCCTGGATCAGTCGTTTATCAATTGGTTCACACAGCGTTTCCGAAATGTTATTACGATAATGTTGCATTGGGAAAAAAATCTTATGACCCATCTGAATTAGAAAAATATCTAATTCTTAAAGAAAAATCCATTGAAAAGTTACCCCTAGTTTTTGTTCTTGGTTTTGAAGATCCTTTCGATTTTCCATTGCAAGGGAATTTTGACCAAATTCGAGGGCAAAAAAGAGTGAAAGCTCTCATTGGTACGAAAGTTTGAACGAGATAATTTTAACTGCGATTTTATATTGACTTTCTTACGATTTTATTCAACAGATCATTCGTTTCGAAAATCGGGAATAGATAAATATGACGACTTCGAGGAAACTAAAGTTCGTAATAGATTGATTAAAGAGCTTTGGTCGAAAAACTTTCATAAAAATAATTCAAAGACAATTGTGGAAAAATTGGATATTGAAAAAGATCCAAATGATCAATTATCGGTAGAAAAATTAAGTCAAGATGTAAATCTTAACTCTTTTTCACTTTCTGATGACGATGATTCATTTCATGAAATTTGGAATGAAAAAGTTTTCAAACATTAATTTCATATTACTACTTGTAGTTTTGATAAAAATCTTTTTCTACGATTAAAGTGAATTTCTTTCCTGTGAAATTTCTCCAGTATTATACGAATATTATTTCAGCGTTTGAATCAATGAGTAGATATTTTATTATGAATATCTTTCCATACTATTTTCTTGGAATTGATTCTTTTCAGTGAAGATTTAACTGAAGATCTTCAGACGATTTTTGATTAAATCTACTTAAATTTTTTTTGACTCAAAATTGAATCAATTGCTCAAATTTTGCTCAAATTTTTAATAAACATTGAATCTAAACAGTTGATTGGGAATCACAGCTAACATGTAACAATAAGTGTAATTTGTGTGTCTAATTAAAAGTAATTTACTAATTGTAATGGATCGTTAATTGTCAGAAGAAGAGGCTTAACCCAATTCTTGATTATTTTGCAGCTAAATTGGTAATAATAAAAAACTGATTAACTTGGTAATTAAGATGAAGATGATATTTTTATGCTTATGATTTTAAGTTAATCACTTTTTTTTGTCAACTGTTTAGACTTTAAATTGTAACTCTAACCTCAATTAACAAATTGTTTCCAGGAAAATAAATCTTTATGGTGAGAAAAAAAGTTTCTCATCTTCATCACCATCATTTGTATCTTTCGTCTAATTAATTAATTGAACTGGACCATATTAAATCATTTCATCATTGACAATTTGCTTAATCAATAAAACTATTCAAATTGTGATATGAATTCAATTTTACTATATAATCGTTTTTACATTCATCTTATTGAATTGTAAGTCCTAAATTGTATCAACAATTTGATTGAGATTAATGAAGAAATGTTTAATTATATTTATATGTATAATTTGAAGTGTTTTTTAATTATCTCAGTAATCAAGAGCAAATGAAAGTATTCAAAGCAAACGAACCAAATATTAATCTAAACTTGGACATTGGCCTTTATTTTCCGCTTCGAAATCAAAATTATCATAATAATAGTGAATTCTGTTGACCAGTTAACTCATCTTCCTCATCATCATCATCACCATCACCATTAAGTGATGCGGATGATGATTTGAGAGCAAAATAACTGGATGATAATGATGAAGATGAAATAATTACTCTAATTATATTCAATGAATAAAAAGAGAGTGAGAGAGAAATAAAATATTAATCGAAAAAAGGAAAAAGTTTCAATTCTTTCCCTCACTAATATACAATGATGACCATCTCATTGACCATCATCAAAGTGTGCAAATAGGTTGCACACAAGGTAAATACAAATAGGATCGAAATGTTAATTGATGAGCAAACAAATACACATTCGAGTCCAGAAAGTCAACTGACCTTAACGGACATCCCATCACCTCCTTCAGCCCAACTCATGATCGACTGACCAAAGGGTGAAAAGTATTCTGATTTCAGTTGATATTGAACTTTTTCCTTGACCATGTTATGTTATCAAACTTTGGAAACAAATTTACTCCTGATTTTCACCTTGACAATTAAATTGTTTAACTGATTTGACTTGAATCGTTATCGTCTTCATATACTAACGGTACTTTTTTTTCTTGTTGAATTTGTGCTGAATTTGTCGTTCGTATCTTCATCTCTGGGTGTATTTAAATTGGATTGGGAACAGTTAAATATCAAGGAAAAGTTGATTTAATTTAATTGTGAAAATGTTTCTCTCAGGGATCAGTAAATTACGATCACCTCGAGCATTTTGTTTCTTCATCATTTTCATGATCTATCTGATTCCTGGAATTTTCAGTGAACATATTTGGGATTTTCTTCATCAATCTGGTACTGAAGATAAAGTGGAATTGGCTAAAAAAATTGGCTCAGCACTTTTACTTGCTTATCGAAGTAAAAAGTTCATGTTTCCACTTCCTTTTCCGGTTCCAGTTCCAATACCGTAAGTGTCAGAACAACTTTTTTTAACAACCTTTAAGTTTAAACCTTTCGTTGTTGTTTAAACTCAACAGAAAAAGTTCATTCATGAAAAATGTTATCTCGTTGCTCAGAATATTAAATAATCATTAACATGGAGGATCAGAGTTTTCCACCGGTGGGAGGAAAAAACTTTAAGATCGGTGAAAAAAAGAGTAGCTAATATTGTTGGAACAGAAAATTACTCAGCTCATGGTGATTATCGTCATGATGATCATTGAAACTTTCATGATGATGATATAGATGGATGAGGATGGAGAGGAATCGGAAAAAAATGATCGATACAAATTCTCAGTGGAAATAAAATGTTTCCGAGTTTTTTTTCATTTCCTTCATTCTGATTATTATTATTATCGTTTTGATGAAGATGATTGTTGAAATTGAATGATTCAGACTTGAACTATGCCCATCATCATGGTGCGAACCATTATCATCATGAACTTTTCACTGAACTTTAACACTTTTCCTCATATCTTTACATGGAATAGCATAAAACCTCATCAGAACTTTCCTCATTCCTATTCACCAAATGAACTTTGTTTTATATCATATTTATTGTTTTAGAATCATTTGTGATTCATGATTATCTTCATGGTGAATTTTGAAAGATAGAGATTCAGAATTAATTGAATTGTAGAAAGAAAATCTTATCTGTCAAAATGAATGGAATGAAAAATGATCAGCTGATAAAATTCATTTTTCTTCTCATCATGAATTTTGGATTTCCTGCTACATGGAACTCTCAGTGATCATGATCATCATGAAGATAGAAAGATGATGAAGGATTTTTATTCTGTTTCTTTCCATAGATTATTCTCTCTCTCTTACATCATTTGTTCCATGTCTGAATTTGAGATTTTCTGGATCATTGGAATAATTTAGATTCTGTATTTTTTTCCTTCTCCTGAATTTTCACCATGATTCTGATTTTGACTCTGATGATAAGTTTATCGCTGAGAATCATTAGAAATCACCATTGATTAAATTGTTTGTTTGCTTTGATTTGATTTTTTTGTTCTGGATTCTGGTTTCATATGATTACTTTTTTTTTCTTGCTACTCAAAGTTGTTCATCTTGATTGTTTTCCACTGAAAATTAAATTGTTCAAAATCAATTGAGTTAAGTTGAAACTCATTCAATTGATTCTGATTGATTTGCTTTTGTTTTCACCCTTGATTGTAAATATCTTTACACTTCATTTGATTGATTGGTTATCATTCGGATAACTATTAATACAAAATCATATTAAGAGGAGATGATGAAGAGGATTTTGTTTTCATTAACTTAATCAACAATCAAAAATGACAAACAATTTATCCATAGATTTGGTTATTAACAAGTTACAATCACCAAATTAAAGTTATTATCATTATCATTTTCTGATGATGATTCTGATAAACAGTTAATTAGATTTCAATTTTTATCATAATAAGTCAGTTGATTGGTGATTAAGATTATTAGTTTTGAGATTATTTTTGATACATTTCCATGTAATGTTAACATTTCACTCGGTTAATGTTGTATTATTATTATCATCTTCCTTATGGATGATAAGAAAGTGTAAGTGAGTAAATTATCATCATCATCATCTTCTTCATCCTTTCATCCTCATCTTTATCATCACCATTAACCTTATATATCGTTAAAAGTGTAGGGTGGGAAATGGTTAAGGTGGAAAGTGGAAGATACAAATTTATTGATTTCAGGAATAAAATAATGATGGTAATCATCATCATCTTCATGAGGATGATGATGATGATGATGATGTGAGGTGGGGAAAGGGTTGAGAACTGAGGTGGTAATAATAATCATGAATAGAAAGTAGATCGAAATTGAAAAGTTCGGGAAAACTTGATTACTCTATTGGGAATTGGAAACTAGAGTAAATTGTTGATGAAGATTGAAACAGTTACATAGATTATCATTACAATTAACTTTCTTTTTTTTCTAATAGATAATTAAATTGATTAGTTAACAATCAATTGTTGGATTTTCATCATTAATTTTTTTTTCTTCTCTTATTGTTGTTGTTCATTAATTCATTTGATTGAGTTATCCCTTTGATAATTAATTGTAATCTGATAGAGTTACAATTACATTGAATGACAATGTTAACGTTATGATTTATGTTTAATTGATTTGTTAATGTTGATGGGAAACAATTGATTTTTGTTTCTCATTATCTTTGTTGATTAACTTTAATTGTCTTGGTAATTTAATTTTTCCCCCTTTTTTTCATTATATTAAACATTTAATTATCATATATGATTAAATGTTTGGAGTTAAATTTTCATATCTGATGGAAAACTTTTCTAGACCTTTAAACCACCAAGGGAATTAATTTGATTAAAGTTTTAAGCAACGTGTTAATTTGATTCGTTACTTGATGATAATAATAATTATCATTGTAACTCTGTTAACTATCAACAGATTCAATTGATAATTAAAGGTTACAACTATTATTATCATAACTATGATGATCTCGTTGATAATGTTTTACATGATTAAATAATCATTTGATATCATCAAATTGTTGTTGACATTTGAATTGATTGAGATTCATAGAGAGTCAATATTAACTGGATTTAGATTGTTGAATCATTTTGATTAGTTTTTTACATCTAAAAACTATCATCAAAATGAATTGATAATTTTTTTGTTCATCTTTACTTTCATGTTTACCTTTTTTTTTGCATCAACAGCTGATCAGCATCATCATTGTTAACCTTCATTGTATTATCATGAAATATAATGTTATCAATGAAGAAGATGATAATGCATGATGATAACAATGAGCCAAAAAAGGGTAAATATTTAAAATTAATCAGCTATATCAGGGAATTGTTTACAATAGAGAAGCAAAAAACTAATTGGATTCACTGGAATAGGAAGATGAATGGGGCTATTAATATATGGAGGATGAAGATGAGGATGAGGATGATGGAGAATAGAAGAGAAAGAAAAATTAGCTAATTCCATGTATTATTATTATGCAAGTTATCGGATGAAAAAACTTGTTGAATCTCAAGTCATGTTTGAAAATCATCAGAACTTTTGTTATTCTCCATGTTAATCCTTTCATTTCCTTCCCTTTTCCTTTTGTTTAGGATTTTCGTTGTTACTTTTCTTTCTAATTCTTTTTCTTTTTATTTTCCTTGTTCATCTTCATCTTCATCTTTATCTTCATCATGTTTCATGTGTTTTCCTTGTTTTCCTTTTCTTTTCTCTCCTTCCATGAAAATCGTGTAATGAATTTTCACCAATAAAATTTTAGTTTAAGATTAAAATAATAGTTGTTGGCCAATTAAAGTAAATAAGTGGCCTTAAATTGCTGATGATGAGTTGGAATACAATAAATAAACAGTCTTCTTAGTTTCCATCCATGTGAATTCTGGGAGAGAAAAGTTCCACTATGAACAAAATTGTTCAGAGAAGATGAAGAGGGAGAAAATATATCCTGTTTTTTTTTGTTCTTCCATTAATTTCATCTCTCTCTCATCGAAACTCATACAGGTCTCAGATCTTTTAACTAGCTAACATAAAGATGGTGGATGAGTTTCGGTTCTAACTGTCACTCATTACTTTGAAACAATTATCGATCGTAACTCTTGTACTGTGAGTGAGAGTGTGTGTGTGTATATTACATCGAGAAAAAGGGAGAGAGTGAGAGTGAGATAGAATATAATGGAAGATTGAAAAAAAAGGCAGAAATTTTCTTTCATTTTTTTTTGTTCTTATAAAAATTAGAATCACATGAAGCATAAAAGTTGAATCGACCTAAGAGTTTGTTTGCTTCGGTAGTTTCTCCCTGGCTTGGACTTATATGGATGATGTATCATCGTAATCAAGATTTTATGATGGTAATGGTGATGATAATGATGATGAGCATAAAGATGGTGGTGATGATGGAAATGATAATGGAAGATGAGGGTGGAAATATCATGTTGGATGATCATCATGACGATCATGTGAAATAAGTCAAGTATATTTTTCCTCGTGTTCAATTATTGTGAATCATTATAATTGGCGGGCCATTTGTTGTATTGTTGCTCATCGTCGTCTTCAAGTATTATATAAAATATTGCTCTCGATTGTTTTTATAAAGAAAAAAAACTATTCCAATCTAAATCAGAGCGAGGGAAAAATTCTGGAAAAGATGAAGAGAATGAAATAATCCCTTATAATGAGACTTTTCCTTATTGTTTCTCTCTCTATCTCTCTCTGACTTTTCCTCTCTAACTTTGTTGGTAACTGTTGTTGACAGGATTGATTAGTATGGAAACAATGATTAACTGGACAGTTAGAGATTAAGACATGAAAGAAGTGGACATGAGTGATATACTTTAAATATTACATTTTGTATCAAATAGTTCAGGTTTCCAAGGTTTGATTCTCATCCCAATCATTCAACAATCTCTGATGGCCAATCTTTCCCATGGTGATGAGTTTGTGTTCATTCATCTTCCTTGAAACGTAATTGAACCTATTAATTAATGGAAAGAATAAGCTATTAATTATGTAATGTTAATTAAAAAAACACAATTAGAAAAGAGGTGAGAGTAATAGATCTGCCCCTGGACATGTATGAGGTTTTCATTCATTTATCTTAATCATATAATGTATTAATAATAATTGTATTGTAATAGTTAAACTTGATAATATTCAAATATTGTTAACTTACCTTTAATTTGAAATTTATTGATTCCTTTGGGAACAGGTAGTTGTAGGAATGGTAACTTTATCACTCGCGAGTGTTGGTTTAACACAAAGTGAATCAATTAAGAGTATTAAAGTTTTTCCAAATGATTAAATATCATTAAATTGGTGACATTGTGTAGGGAAAAAAGTATTTGGTAACAATCCAATTAAATTTTGATCAAAAATCAAATCACAAAGAATTAGAAAGAGTGTCGAGTTTCTTTGTCATTTTGATCTTTTTCGTTGTTCCTTTTCATTGTAATTGAATCATTTCCTTTTCCTGTTTCTTTGATTTTCTTTGATTTTTTTTGAACAACAGGATTTATAAAACATATCAAGCTGTTATTCATGATCCATGGTTTCATAAGAAGCAACTTTTAACCGGTGGATTAGCTGGAGGATATGGTGGATATGGTAAGTGAGATTATTGGACAGCATTGAGCACCATTATGCTGAAATGAAATTGTATTTATCATATTCAAGAGATTGGATTATTAATGTTGATAATTTTTGTTCATCTTCTTCATTTTTTTTTCTTCGCTCTCTTGATGAACTGGGTTAGGAGGTGGAGGAGTTGCAAGTGGTGGATTGGCCCATTTAGCTGCTCTTGGTAAGTTGGGTGGTGTTGGACTTGGTGGTCTTGGTCATGGTTTTGGTGGACATGGTATTGGTTTAGGTGGTGGACTTCATGGTCTTGGTGGGGGACTTGGTGGAGGAATTGGTGGACTAGGTGCACTGGGTGGATTGGGTGGATTAGGTTTGTTGGGTGGATTCGGCTGAAGAGGGTCAGTTTTTAGTATCTTCTAACATCATTATCAGCCATCTTTATCGTCATCATCATCATCATCACAAGAGTAATCAACACTAATCTAAAAGAGTAACTTTTAATTAGTTGTAACTCTCACTTCAAATGTTAATCTTTATCGCCATCGACTCTAACCCTTTTACCAAGCCAAGTGCATCGAAAGCAAAACGAATTCATTGTAATAGTAAAAATTTATAACATCGGATAGAGAAATACAAATATTTATCACCAAAACAAAGTAAAAATTTTGAATAAAGTGTCATTAATCCTTTATGATTAATCCATCATCTGTATAAGACAAAAAAAGAAGAGAGAAAAAAAATCCAATGTTACAAAATTTAAAATACAAAATTTGATGGATTAAAGATCATTAACTGTCTTTTTTCTAATTTACTTTGAAACAATAAATAAAATGGAAGAATGGAAATTCAAAGAAACCCAAATAAACCCATTTTTATAACAAATTTAGTCCTTACCTGGAAAATTACCTAATCCAAAATTGATTAATCTCATTCATCAATCAAAGGCTTAACCATTTTCACCTTTAGTCACCATAGTTTTACACCTAAATCATTGATCTAATTTGATACCATAAACCGAAAGAAGCTGGTGACACATTAATCTAAAGAGTACAAATTAAATTGATTAAAAGAAATGAAACAAAAAAGATTAACAATCAATAAATTAGAACACAAAACAATTAGAGTTAATTGATTAACAATAGAAAATGAAATTTTTTCAAATTTCGTTTCCAATTTTCTTTAGAATTTGAAAGAATTACCAGCGCCATCTAGTGGATAGAAAATTAGTATTGGGAGAATTGATTTTTTCTCTTTTTGAATCAATGTTTTCATTTTTATCTCTTAATTAATCATCGATTCTATTAATTGTAACCAGTGATTATTTTATTAGATTTAGTTGCGTTAAGTGATAGCAAAATTATGCAATAATTGGATTGTGTCAAAGTTAAAAGTGAAATTGAATTAAAACTGATCTCATTTTTATCTTTTATCCAAAAGTGAGGGCAAGGTCTTTGGGCTTTTGTTTACCATCGGTCGGTGATCCATGCTGATCAATTGTTGACTCTCTTTGTGTTAATTGGATTTTATTTTGATTTGATTATTTATTATTCGATTTGGAACATTTTTGTTAATGTATTGGTCGTCATCGTTTATTTTGGATCAAGTAATCTTGTGAATCTTTTCGATGGCTCTTCATACAATCTTTGCAAGAGAAACGACAACAACATTAACCCTACATTTTCTCTGGTTATTGTTTCTTTCTCCGTGATTATCCTTCATCAAAATTGTTCTTATTTATTTAAATCATTTCATTAATTGTTTCTGTCTATCTCATTTTTCACCTAATTTCATTAACTATTATGATCTAAATCATTCACTGGCTTTTTTTTTCTCTTTGCCTGATATAAATCTCACATTCTCTCTTTCTCTTTCATTACCCTTTTCTTAATTTTGTCAACATAATCAAACAATTTTTTATTCATTTAATTTAATTTATCACAAATCTTCGGACATTTTCAACAATCTCATCAAAATTGAATCACATACAAAACAACATAAACAACAACAACAACAACAACAACAATCATGGAGAGTGAAGACTATGAAGATGGTGAACCATTTTTCTACACCTTTAATAGCCACTTTAAGCTATTGTTAAGATTTCTTGTTGGATTATCAATCAATTGGACTTCTTTTAAATGTTTACTCAATTCAATCAAAATGATACTTATGCGTACGGAGACAATTATCCTGTTAATTTCACTGGCAATTATTTATATCTGTTGTCATTCATCTGATGTTTGGCCGAACATTTTATCCAAACGAATACCCAATCAATGGCTTCTTAAACTGGGAATTATCAAAGTTAAACCTAAAAATAATTGTAGCTCTTCAACGGAAGGATTAATTGTTAATAATGTTGGCATTTATGCGATTCAAGGTAGACGTCCCAAAATGGAAGATACCTTTTCCTATTGTGATGAAACCTCAAGATTTGGCTTACAAATGTTTGGTGTATTTGATGGTCATGGAGGAGATGTAAGTACATATAATAATATTAATAGTATATTTAGACTATTATCTCATTAAATGTTTATCTAATATTGATTTTTTGTTAATTCTTTTCTTCTAGTCTGCATCCAGGCTTGTTCAAGATCGTCTCTTCACCTCTATCCTGGAAACCTTAGAAAATATTTCCAAGGAAACATCAGAACCCTTGGTATCAATTTTAAAAGATGAAACAAAACCAAACGATAAACAGGCTGATGAATTTTGTCCCGCCAATGGAGATGTTACCTGTAAATCTACAACTTCACCAGTATCTTCACCATCATCATCATCATCATCATCTTTTTCATTTTCATCACCATCATGTTCACCTAATGATGGGAATAAAGGTGACATGAGATCAAAATATATCTCACGTTTAATCAGTAAACATATAATTGATTTGGATAAAGAGATTGTTAAAGAAATGAAATTGAAAAATGATGTTTCTGGAACCACTGCTCTTGTTGCTGTTAATCTGATTAAAGAGAAAACCTTAATTGTTGCTAATGTTGGTGATTCTCGAGCTGTTCTCTGTGATCGTAAAGGAAATGTGATCCCACTATCATTTGACCATAAACCTGATCAAGTAAGTCAACAGAAATAACGAAAATCGAATAGAAAAATGTCAATATGATTTCTAAAATATTCTTAATCATTGTTTTGTTTTCATTTAATATTCTAATTTCAGGTAAAGGAAAAGAAACGAATCAAAGATGCTGGAGGTTTCATTCAATATAATGGTGTTTGGAGAGTGGCTGGCATATTAGCAACATCTCGAGCTCTCGGTGATTACCCATTGAAAGACAACAATTTAGTCATCCCCGATCCTGATATTCTTACATTTGACCTTAATCATGTTAAACCAAGCTTTATGATCTTAGCTTCGGACGGTCTATGGGACACTTTTACCAACGAAGAAGCCGCTGAATTTGTTCGTATTAATCTTGAAATGTTACAGAAAAGATCTTGGAAATCATCTAATAGTATTGCTCAAGAGCTTGCCAAAAGTCTTGTTCATCAATCATACAAAAAAGGATCATTGGATAACATAACTGTGATAATTGTATTATTTGATTCCTGATTCAACCAAAAATTGACAAGAAAACTTGAAGATAAAGAGAAGAGAGATTGACAGAAACAGTCAGAATTACAAACAGATAAAAGAGAAAATCAACTAAATCAATTTCACTGTTAATTAAGTCGATTCACCCAACGATTCACTTGAATTTTACTTAAACCAAAAAAAAAGAAACAATTCAATTCTCTTGCTGTTAAAATTTTGTCTCTATTATGCTGTTTAATTACCTGCCTTCATGAAAAACAATTCATTTTAATTAACTAACATAATTTTGATTTTGATTTGATTAAGGAAAAAAGCTCTTAAAAACAACAACAACAATTTAAACAATCAAAAGAAAAATCATCTTGGTGTAACCGTCCTCCTCATAATTGACCATTGATTGATTGTTGAGAGAAAAAAACAAATGTGAAATATTTATATATTTACATTTATACAATTTAAACATCTTGTACTTGAGCAATTAACTAATCATCAAATTGTTTTGATATTTTAAATGAACTCATTTTAAACGACAAGATATAAAAAAAAATTGGATACAAGGAAATATCAGCTTACAATGAAGTGAACAAATTAAGGACAACAATCAACTATGTGAAATAATATCAAATCTAAATTATTGAGAGTATGACCATGTTTAGAACGTTATTTCTTAAACAATTAATGAAAAAAAACAAAAATATATTAATTGTCTCTCAACTTTGTACATTGAAATTAAAAGAAACAATTTAAATGAAAAACTATTCCATTGCTCCTTAATCAAGACAAAACGTAGGTACAAATTGAAACAAGACAGAAAAGAATCACTCAATTTCTTAATCAATTAATCAACATTAATTGAATTTATTCCTCAAGTTAATTGTGAAAAATGAACAATTAATTAATTGTTGATCGACTTGAGACTCAAGCGCCACCTTGAGTTTCGAATTTAAATTAACCAAGAGACTAACCAGAAACGTGCTTACAACATGAGACCAATGGGAGTCGTGTGAATTGGTTTTATGTTGATAAATTGTTTTAGATTTAATTGTAATTTATAATAATTAATTATTTGCAAAAATGGGTAATGTACATGCTTCTTCACCTCCTCCACCTTTAACTACGGTCCCAGAACCTCCACCAACACCTCAGGTACCTTCTGAACCGGTAGATGATGGAAAATCAAGATTATCCACCATGGAAGAGCTTCACAAGAAATGTAAAGGTTTGTGTTGAGAATTAATTTGTTTTTTTCTTCTATTCTATTTTACTTTTTAATTGTTAATCTATTTGCATGATGATTGCAGTTTCTATTCAATCGAATGATGTTTCCTTCTGATTTTCCATTCGACCTTTTCAATTCAATGGTTTTCATTTGTTTCTTTCTCTTTTCTCTCTTTTTATTCTATTCTATTCTTTTACTTTCATTCATATCTTTTATATATGCGATGATATTTGGGTTTTAATCTCGATGGTGTTGATATTTAGATATATTCCCTATGCCTTTTGATGGAGCTAGGATTGTTTTCAATCGAGGTCTTAGCAATCATTTCCAGATAAATCACACGGCCTCAATGTCCACCATGCAACCATCGGCGAGTGGTTATAAATTTGGGGCCACTTATGTTGGTAATCAAATTGTTGGTCCAGGAGAAGCTTATCCAGTTTTACTTGGTGACATTGATCCAAGTGGAAACTTGAATGCAAATATGTTATGTCAATTTCATCCTAGATTAAGGACGAAAGCTGTAGTTCAGGTTAGAATTTATAATGATGACAAAATTTCATCAAATATTTGACTTCCATAAACTTAACCTTTAAATAGGTTTTCTATTGATCGTATTCTCATATTGGTTTTGTTTTGTTTGTTTCATGTTAAAATAGATTCAAGATTCAAAGACTGCTGGTTATCAAGTTTCTAATGATTATCGAGGAGATAATTACACTGCCTCAGTAATTTTAGGCAATTTTGATCCTGTAACATTTTCGGGAATGTCTATATTTCATTATCTTCAACCAGTTTCACCTACAGTAGATTTAGGTGCTGAATTAGCTGTACAATTTGGTCCTGCAATTCCTGATGGAATAATATCAGGTAAATCCTATCAAATTCTATTGAATGACAATAATTTTCTAAATTCTCTTTTTCATTTTCTTACCTAATTAGCTCTTTCGGTGGCTGGAAGATACACTTCTCCAGATAATTTCATTTTAAGCGGTACATTTAGTCCTTCCCAACTTCACGCTTGTTACTATCAAAAAGCTAGTGATCAATTACAGGTAATCTAATCATCAATCGTTGGAAAAATAAAACAATCTCAATCTTATTTATCCTTATTTTTCCTTCACTAATAGTATGGCGTTGAAGTTGATACCAATATAAAGATGCGAGAAAGTTATGCAAAATTTGGTTACCAAGTAGATCTACCGAAAATGGATGCATCTTTTAAAGGTGAGAGAGATTGAGAGTTTTCTATTCTCTTAAAAGAAAAATTTGATTCTATTCTAAAAATGACTCTTCTCTTCATTCACTAAAAGTACTTTTCTCTTATTCTCCCTTAATCTCAGGTTCCATTAGCTCGGATTTCGGTATAACTGGAGTCTATGAGAAAAAGTTAGCACCCTTACCTCTTATTCTTACCCTTAGTGGGCATATTGTCCATGGACGGAATCCTCTCTACAGATTTGGAGTCGGCTTGACGCTGGGTTAATTAACTTACCAATTAAACACACAAACACTCAATCAAACACAACACCAACAACAACAACATAGTAGTTTTGTCTAATTAACAACCCAAACACAAACACACGTAAGAATATATAAATAGTCCTTATTATTTGGAATAGTTCATTTTGTTAATAAAAAATAAGAAAAAAATAGAGAAAATGGAGAAAATGATTATCAATGTAGTGATTTATATCAATTAACTAATTTTTGTTCATCATCATACCAATATAATTTACAAAGAATCAACCTGAGGATAATTTTTAACATTATTTTGTTGATTATTGAACACACAGAAAGAAAAGAAAGAAAGAAAAAGCAATTACTCTAATCCAGTTACATTATAATTGTGATTTAAACATCAGACCAATTATATTACCAACACAATTTGTTTTTCCTCTGTTCTAATCATCATCATTTAAAAAAGGACAACAACTAATCCATATTAAGACAAGCCAAATTTGACTGCCAAAAACTCAACAATTAACGTGCCGCCATTAAAGGGATCCCAATACATCCCTCTAGTTGATTAATTATTAACAAAAATCACTAAATTAATGGACAAAAATTAAGCGAGTGTTAATCTTTGTTTTTGTTTTCGCAATGAAAAGTATTTACAAAAAAAAAGAAAACAATTTAGTTGTAATATTAATTGTTCAATATTGTTGATATAAAGAACAAAACAATTTTTTCCTCTCTCTAAATTAATTTAATTTCTGTTGTAAAAAGAAACTCATTTAATCACCACAACAAACAATCTAATTTGAAACAATTAGCGAAACATTTCAATCTCAGGATTAAATCGTTTTCTTTATTATTATTATTATTTTGGTTTGTAATTAACACGATGAACGATAATACAATTGAAATAGTTATTATTATGTTTACATTAATAATAATTTGATTTATTTCCTCTTTTAAAATTGAACTTTTTGTTGTATTTTTTTCTTGACAATTTAACAAACAATTTAAGGCTAAATAGATATATTAATATCACCACGAATCTCTAATCCCTCCCAGTGGATATAATTGTCATGAGCTAAGATGTGACCAGTTAATCCAGGGCCAACTTCAAGTTTCTCATTATCACCAGAGAAAAGGATTAAACTGGAAACCGTTGAAAGATTTTTCAAACTGACCACACTATGGAAAAGTCCATCTAATTGTAAACATTCACGAACTCGAAGTGATATATTACGAGTGACGGTTCGCTCACGATTATCACCGATTCTGGAATAGATTATCTTGAAATAGAGTGGAAATTGTTTCGCAATGTAAGGCGCTTGAAATTGGAATGAATTAATTTCTCCCATGGTAATTGGTGTTGATTGTTTGGTCAGATCGCAATCAAATCCTTTAAGATTACCATTAGTTGTTAATTTAGCTTGATAGGTTGACTTGGATATGTTTAAATCGGTAAAATCACATTCAATTGTTAGATCAATTATTTGACCTGTAAACAATTCAATGGTACTATTATTGTTTGCAATTGTTTTACCCAATTTAATTGTAACATCTAATGGTGGTAAAGTTTCAATTGATGAAAAATGTAAACATTTGGTTAATCTTTCATTAAAATGATTAACAAATTGGACTCCTAAAATGTTGAAACTAATTCCAATTAAATTAAAATCACATATCACAGTTGGTACCAAGGAACAGGTAACTTTAAATGGTTGACCTGCTTCAAGATTAACATTAACTGGTGAACAATTAACTTCATCTTGGTCAACCAATAATTTTAGATGATCCAATTGAATATCAAATGATGATGATAAAGTTAATTGTAGGCTTAATGGTTCAGCAAGGAAACAAATTGTACGTCCACCTTTACTTATTGATCCTTCAATGGTACATATAACAATATCCTCGATTTTGGGTACATTTACATGGGTAATTGTTGAATCATCTTCATCTTCCTTTGATTTTAATTCTTTAAGAAATTCATTGAAAAAAAGTTGCTTATCAGCGTTTGTTTGAAGTAAATTAAGTCCACGATCACGATATAATGTTTTCGTCTCTTTATCGACAATGGTACTTGATATTTGAATGTACAATTTGGCCATTGTAAACTTAACATGTTCAATAGCATAAGACCAATGTGACAGTGAGTATTTAAGGTAGGACGAAAGTGCTAATCGTTTGAGTCCACATCGATTATACCGATGACCAGCTAGAACATAATGGAAAATTGCTTTTCGTTTTCTCGAGGGAAAAGTGACAAGGTAACAATTGGCCGCTTGTTCTAGAAAAAGGCCAGATCTTAGGTCACTATCTTCGGCAGTTAATCGGATGAAAAAACTGGCAGCTTCACTGGGCGATGTTTCCCTGATAACATCGGTAGCGAAAAGGGTCACTCGTGTCGCTAAATGGGACGATTTAGATGATTCCAGATAATAAACGATCGCTTGGTCAAGGTAATATTTTTGGAATTTGTTTAAAAGATATGAAGCAATCGCTGCCGCTTCCGAAGCACCAGCATAATACAACCAAGCACCTTCACTTTGAAACTCTTTACGAGCAGCATAATAGGAATTGTAAGCGACATCGTAAAGTCCTAAACACATGGTTAGATCGGCAAATTTTCGATACTGCATCTCATTTGCTTCGAGTGAATAGACGACACTTTGATTTGTTCCCTTTAAATTCATGGTTGACGATGAAATTGCCAATAATTGTTTCGTTGCACTGAAAATACTTCTTCGAAGACCTTTCCTTGATGCCAATGCTTCCGCTAATATACCTAATTGTTTCTCGAACCAAGGGATTACCGCTCGGACAAACATTCGTCGCAACAGTTTATCACATTTGTTTAACATTTTTTGACTAATTATTTTCACTTGTTGATATTCATCTTGTTGTTGTTTCAATGGAGTAACAATCGGTTCATCACCATATTCCTCGGTATCTTTTTTATTTAATAGTGAAGTTAATGGATCTTGTTGTTCAATAGATTTAACCATGTTAACATTATCCGTTGTGTCTTGACTAATTGTGACCTCAGATGATTCTGGTTCAACGATTGGATCAATTTCAAACCAGAAACATTTATTGGTATCATACATTGCGACCAGATCACTATAAGCTGGATGGAGAGTTGCTGTAGGTCCAAATTCATCAGATTCTTGATTGAATAAAGATGAATCTTTATCACTAAGAACAACAATATACTTGAGGAAATTAGGGAAAAACCATTTAATCGATGAGATTGATTTAACTTCCGTTTGTAATTTGTTTAAAACTTCACGAAAATTGTCTAAATCACCTTCAGCTAAGAAAAATATTACACCAACATGAGCACCGATAAATTCATGATCATTTGATTCTAAATTGGAAAGGAAAACTTTCTTCCAAGCATTAAACCAAGGCGTCTCATTAGGAGATCCATTGTAATTACTACCTCCATTCAAAGTATTCAGCTCATTGTTATATGATAAAACACAATCATGGAGAAGTTTCTTCACTTGAATTGGATTAGGTTTACATTCTGTATCTCTTGATTCACTTAATTTAATCTTTAAATCATTGACAGCATAATATTTATCCGAATTGGGTTCACGTATGGAAGCTAATGAAAGAGAAACGAAGAGAAAAGAAAAGCAAATCAATTAAAACCAATAAAATCATCAGTCTAAAAAAGAGCAACTAAATACTCTAATGTGTATCGGTGGGTAATCAATAGCAATTAGAATGAACAATTTACCTTGTAAACCTTTAATATTTTTAAATTGTTTTAAAAGATCACCAATATTTGGAGTAAGAGCCTTGGCTTTAGATGAAAACATCATCGTCATGTTGATTGAGAACATACTCTCAATGTATTGATTAATATTTTCCATTCTAAATCACTGTAATAGCTAAATTGCACCTTAAGGAGAAAACAAATCTAAAATCACAACAACAATTAAAATATACAATCAACAATTCTTTATGTTCGTTTGGCTGGTTGAACTCTGCTGACCTAATAGCTATCCTCCCATGTATACATGGCTCCTGTTAGAGTCGACACAATGGTCTCCACGAGCTATTTTTCAGCTAATTTAGCTGCTAATTTCGTTCTCAACTTTGCTAAATGATTTCTTATATTGTTGATGTTATGATTGTTGATTTCCCAACCACTATCAGGTCTTATGTCCGGACAGTTAATCAGATGTTTTTCGTCCATTTCTACATTACACGTGTGATCAATTGATTCTTTCCACACTCTTACATAAGTTATATCGCTGATGAGTTTGTCCAGATAGAATCCATTACGTTGTCTTATGACGAGTATCGCCTTTGATGAGAAGATTTTCTCAACCAGGGTGGTTTGCTTTTTCCTTTTAAATAGCATCATTTCCCTCTCCATAAGCTTGTGTTTAATCAGCTTCTTTATCTGGTTGTTTGTTTTCTTGATTACAATATTCATTGGTGATAAGTTTTCCACACAACTGGACATTTCTGTTAACATTATTCTATCGGCCAGCTGATAGTCCTCAAGGCACTTTTATTAGATTCACTTAGTTTTATAGCTGATTTTATGACCTTACAGTGACCATTATTCATTGACATTGTTACAATCATTCGCTCTAGATCGAAGCCTGATATTCTCCCCAGGGCTTTGAAATGTTTGTGTTGAGTATCATTGGAACCAATATCACGTTTAGTTAGACACAGTGTATCTGGTGATCCATCAACTCTTCTTATCTCCAAGGTTTCCGTTAATCCAACGCCGATGAATTGATAATTGGTTAGATGTTGTCTCTTAATCTCAGGTGACCATTCTACCACCGGAAATTTTTCACAACTGACATCCTCCTGCCAGAGCTTCAACATCAAATTGATGAAATAAGAAAACATCGGATTCGGCAAGTTATGAATATATTCAAGGTAACAATCCCTATATCTTCTACGACACATCACTTTGTTCGTCAAGGCTCTACCAAGTAAGATTAATTTATCTATGAGGTATTTGTATAGTTTGTTGTAGTACCATATACCAACACCAATGGAGTTGAAATGAGGCGAGATGTGAGAGTCATACATTACCATTAGTTGTTTGATTCTCATCGATTTCATTAGTCTCAGTTGAATGTCATTCAGTTTCACCTTGGCCACTAAATTGTTAAGTATCTTGCTATTGTTTGCCGTTGATCGATTAAGATCAAAGCCAAGTATTTTGTCTTGACTATTGAGTATGTTGAGATTGATCATTTTTGTCTTTTCAGTATTTATTGTTAGGTTAATTAATCCAAATTTGTTTTTTATTTCTTCTATCGAGACATCCGGATCATTGGTCATCACATAAAGATCATCCGCGTAACTCAAAACTCGTTGTTTATGCGTTCTCCTGTTTAACCATTTCAGTGATTGATCAATTCCCATGATAAATAGTAATGGACCAACACCATAGCCCTGTAGACCTTCTTCATCGTTTGAGGTAATTAGTCTGTTATTTTCATACATTCTTACCTTCCTTCCCGTTATGAATTCCTCAATTAGCAGTCTGGTGCCTCTGTCCATACCTTCCAGTCGCATTTTTATTTCATTCCTATCCAACTTATCAAAAGCCTTGGTAAGATCAAGGGCAACCAGTTTCGAATAGTCAGAGTGATTCTCATAAAGTTTTTAGTAGTGATAATCTATCCTGTTCACCTGTATAAGCAAACTGTAACTCACAGTCTATTATATTGTTTTCCGCCAACCATGATTTAAGTCGCTTAACCAAGATTTTGTCAACAATTTTTCCCAGGTAACTTTGGGTTCGCACAATTCGATAATCCCCATTTGGCTTTGGTATTTTGGTACCACCACTCGTCTTGATTGCCTGAGGGATCCAGGCTTTACTGAATATCTCATTTATTATTTTGATTATTATCTCCTTATTCATCTTCCATATTTGTTTCCACCGATTTAGTGAATGAATCTGCCCATCCTGAGCTGTTGTTGAAGTTCATTTTTCTAATATAATTTAATTCATCCAGAGTCAAGCCTTTAAAGCAATCATTGGCGATGTGACACAATTCAACATTGATATTTGGTATAATAATTGGTTTCATTTTAATCTCATCGCCATCCTTTCTAATATTGGCATCAATTCTAAACTTGGACATCAATAAATGTATTTCAAGAATCTCCATTCTCCAGACCGGTATTGTCCTGTTACGATTTATTTGATAGTCTTTCAATTCATGGTAGGCATAAAATCTTTCCTCCATCGATTGACATTTGTTCATTTTATTCTTGAGTTTTCTTATCTTGTTGTTTCCACTTTTTCGATTAGATTTCGTACCCTTTCCCAGGTTCATAATGTTGGAGATCATCTTATTCAATGGAAGATCCATTGTTAGGACACCTTTTTTATATCTGATATCAAAGTCTCTTATTTGTTTAATGGTCTTTCCTCTGTGTTTAACATTTGTTTTTAGATCAATCGCCTTGTGGTCGAGTCCAGGTTCATCCCGAAATGAAACAACAGTATCAGCAGTCTCTCCCACCATCAGAATCACATCTATCAGTGAGCTCTTGGTTGAACATATTCTTGTTGCTCCTGCAATACGATCCTTAGGTAACAACGACATAAAGCCTTTACACCTTAATTCATCTTCTAATTCATTAACAAGAATTCGTGGTAGTTTCCTTTCAGTCCTCGGATTATCAGCCCATAAGCTAGTTTCAAGATTCAGGTCGCCCATCAGTATTGTCGGAACTTCAATTTTCAATGCTTTTACAAGAGATATCAGCTTTTTGAGAGTGTGAGTGTCCGATGGAGCACAATAGACAGCTATTATCATGATTACACATTCACAATTACGATAGTAACCCCAGATTATATTATTGTCATAGATTTTCCCTTCGATTCTTTTCCATATCTGATTGTGAGTAATAGCAACTGTAAGGCCATTCAGTCTTTCCTTGGCAATATCAGAACCAAGATCTTCCGTTGTAACTATTATACAGTTATCACGTAGAGATCTCCTTACAATCTCTTCAGAAAAACTCACTTTCCTCCTGATATTCAACAACTTCAATTTTACTTCCGCTGATCTCATAATCGCTCCACCAAGCCTTGATTGTTTGGTAGTCCAGCAGAACCGATTACTGTGAGTTAACAGAACATAGAGTTAATAGACAAGTTTATCCACAGTCAAGAGCAAGGGCAAATTTTATTTACTGTCAGAAATGGAGTCTGATAAGTATTATTTGGATTGTAACATTGATAATAGTAAGATATTAAATGAGAATGGGTGAGGGAAGAAGTAAGATTGAGAAGAAATAATAAAAGATTGAGAATTGGGAATATTGGATTAAATGTGAGGAATATAGAGATAAAAGAGTTTGAACTGAGTCGTTAGAGAGTTGAGGTTGTACTGGTAATAGATCAAGGGCTGAAGATGAAGCGAGTCAGACCACCAGGCTACTCAATTTAACATATTGTTGAACAACATTAGGCTGTTATTGTCATCACTCATGGCCACCATAATTGAACGTCCCATTCTGTTTTATCCATATGAAACTGTCACAGACCATATCAAGCAGATCAGCGGAAATAACATCCACCATCATTGTCAGATAAAGTTGACACCAGTCCAAAACTTGGACTAGCGAGCCCCTGATTACAAGAAGATTAATCAAATCTAACAGTGGTTCATTGTCAGTACCATCCAATATTATCAGATAATCAACCAAATTGTCTTCTTCAATGAATTCAAAGAATACATTTCTATGATTCATAAAGTAAAAATTTTCTCCTGTTGTTAAAATTTCAATAATAACAAAATCATTAAGATTGTAACTCAGTTTGACACTTAGATATTCTGAATTGTAATTCATTTCGGGATCTCAACGATGTTGAGGTTGTCGATGTCGATGTTATATAATTTTGATTCACAGTAACCAATTGAGGAACAGGCTCAAACTAAATTCGAATTTGCTTCTATTAGCTAAAGGAAGTGTTTTCTCTCCTCTCTCCTTAACTCTCTCTCATAACGTTCTTAGTATGTTAGCTAACAGGTTTCAGATTCAAAGCAATTTATTTCCTAAATTATTTATTTTCATATTCTCTATGCCTCGCATTAGTTTGTATAATTGATTTTCAATTTTAATTTTCTTTGTTATTTTCTTTTAAACAAGGAGAAAATATTACTACATCAACGATGAATTGCTGCTCAATTACATTCTTTCAATTGATCCGAAGTGAACTTTGGACAAAGTGAGAAGTGTATAGTCTTAATGGTAGTTAGAATATGACTGTCTATAATAACAAAGCAATTACAAGGCAATGATCAGTAATGAGAAAATTTTTCGTTGTCTGAGCAAGTTACAGCAAGGTTTATAAGGCGATAAGGATTAATAAATTTCAACAATCGACAGGGCTTAATTGGTGTAATTTGAGCTTTGTACTAATACAATCAATAGCTCAAGCCATAAATCACAATCTCCATTCGGTTTGCGAAGGATAATGACAAGACTAATGATAAACAAAAGTGGCAAAGAGAGCCATGAAGAATAGTAAATGCAGTTAACTGAATTTTAGCAATAGAGTGAGCAGAGCGATGGATCCAGAGCGAGAGTTATAAAGACATCATAATCATAAATCACATCAATCCATTATATCGAGAATGTTAATGAATTTGTCGAATGAGTTGAAATTTAGAAGTTGATGATACAAAAGGAAAATCAGATATTTATGGTCGGAACCCCAGAGGAGAATAGGTAATTGGTTCCATCGCTTTAGGCAAGAGGACTGAAAGTAGCTAACATTATTGTGTCATATTCATGTCCAATGTTTTTAGCTTTTATATGGCTCTTCTTAACGCTGGACACAGTGGGTGATTAGTCGGATGTTCAAAGAGAATAGCAGCTCCATATAATTCATATGCTATCCGACAGTTGTTGCAATTAACCTCTTCTAAGCATCTGCCAGTGTCTCGTTCATAGTTTCCAGTGGGTTGATGACAGTTCGAGCATTTTTGTTCATAGTTACAGTGACAGGCTACATCAGTAGCATGAAAGAGACTGCAACATGGACATTGGGTAAGATTGATGTTGTCAAATATACGATATCTTTGTCCACGAATGATGATTGTCCATCCCAAATATTTTACCTCGTTTCTATTGGCCGTGAAAACCACCCTTAGTAGAGAATCAATTTCTTAGTTCAATAATTCGTGATACTCTGACCCCTTCAGCATTTCCTTTTATGGCTTGACATATTTGACCAGCCGGAATGACATCGGGTACCGATAGATAAATGCAAAATGATGGCTCTTTCTCATTCGGAATAACAAATTTTGTTGAAGTTTTAATCCACCATGTTTGAGACATTATATGGTCTTGTAATTCTTTGCGCTTACTTGCATGAACCAAGAAGTTAAAGCGATTCTCCAAGTATTGTACTGTCCCAACTGTCGCGCCAGTGAAAAGAGTATTCGCCTCTAATCTTCCTTGGATGAAATCTCGCCAGAAAATCGGAGCTGATGGTGTAATATTATGGACATTTGCGTAGTTTGGATGAAATTGTGATATTCGTATAGTACTCGTTTGCCAAATGTACCAACCAGATGACCACTCCTTGGATCTAATCTTTTGTCATTTTCACTTGTTGATGATTCTCCTTTGCACATATTTATCAGCAGAAGTACTTGATCTCAGAGTCAAAGTAGGAGATAAAAAGTTGATAGATTAATTCGCAAACTAGAGAATTTGATTATAGTGAGTTTGCAATGTAACTTAGTTCGAGAAGAAACTCAATTTCTATCTGAATTCAATTTTCGTGAAAATATTTGTGAGATAAGGGGTATGGGATACGGGTTTAGTTAAGGAGTTAATTGGACTTGAAGCAAAAAGATGATTATTGAAAGAAGATTAATATAAAGTAGATTAGATTAAATGGATTAGTGATGATTAATAGGGAACTAATCTTGACTTATAAGAGAAACGTGATTAGCTTAATTTTCAAAAGGAATTTCAAATTGGTAACTATGGAGAAGTTGATAGTCATTCAGTTAAGAGCGCGATATTTGATTAGATTCTGAACGAGATTCTTCTCAATTCATTCTCATTTATCTTGATTTTATCAATTCTCATTCCCTTATTATCAACATTTTGAGCCAAGTCATCATTACAAAGATAAACACAGCTTTCAAGACCAGTCATTAATTTGAGATCTTGCAAAGAACAATTCGGTCCTCATTCCTGCATTAATTATTTTGCTGAAGTTGACGGAGAGATTTTATCAAAGGCAAGAAAGGTTTGTAGTTTGTACGAAACTTGTAGATCCATGTCGACAGCCCATTTATTCCGATTTTTGTTTTAGCAGAATCTCAATCGTTTTAAACGAGTTCTTGCTGTCATCAATGACAATACAATCTTTATTTTATCAGCAAATCGTGGATTACTTAGCTTGAGGGCCATCAGGGTTGAGTTCTCATGAGTGAAAATTTTTTGTCCATGATGAAACTGATAATTGTATCGTTGGGTCCCCTATCGACATGAGCTTTCACTGGCGCAAACAAGGTGGAATCGATGTTGATGTTTGAATTAAAGCCAAACTTGTCCAATTCTGACACATATTGTTCAAAGGATACAGTTTCGTATAGATGTTCATCAAAAGGTTTAAGAAGAGACGAAGCCATTGTTTTAATTGATGAGACTGGTTGTGTTAGGTGTTTAACTCTTGTAAATTTGTATAAAATAAAGATATAGTTCAAGATGATTGATGAGTTTATAATTGATAAAACAAGGATATTAGTAGATAGCTTCAATTATAGTCAAATTTAAACGTAAACAAGTCAAATTTTAATTGTCTTGATCAAGTGTATACAGAGACACTAGTGGTGTAGTAAACAAGTAGCTACATTCTGAGCGAGGCAAGTTCAATTTTATTCTTCCTTCTTAACAATCACATGAGAGTACATGTGATTGATCCGAGAGAGTGCAAGTTTAATTTGTTTCAAAAGGTTGGACAATTGAAGTCAAAGGTATTTGGCCAATCTTGTGATTGCAGGTGAACACTTTAGTATGTTTGGATCTTTCTTCTTGGTACAAAGTTTAGATGAGTGTGGTAAGGCACAATACCCACAAGTCACCGTGAAGATACAATTAGCTGAGCGATGGCCATACCTACTGCAGTTGTGACATAGTATAATACCCATGTAATCTATAACAGACACTCGACGCCAACCAACGCTTATCTGTCCTCTGTTCCTATCATTATCTAGACTCGAACGAATTTGTGAGTCTATTTCAATTATCATTTTCAACCATGAGCCTTTGGTCTCAGCTCTGATGAGCGAGATTTTCGATTCGTCTTTCCAACCATTCCATTTCTTCAGTTTCATTATCCAGGTCTTCCACTCAGCTTCACCAAAATTAATATGTGGATTGGCCATTTCAAATTGAATCTTTGGTTCATCAAGAGCAGGAATAGTTGTGACAAAGACTGTGTTACCAGAATGTTGTTGAAGTTTGTTCATGATGTCATTTCTGCTTTTCTGATTATAAAGTGAAACTTTACAGAATTTCTTTCCTGCCTCCAAATTTATAACGTCCATCATGTAATCTTCAGATTCGTTGAAAATTCTCTGTAGAATTATTTTAGTGGTATATCCTGAATCCTCTTTACCATCTGTATTTGATTGAACCAATAGAAGCGGGTTAATTTCTAGATGCTCAACATTGATCCAGTTATCAGGTTTCTTCCAAATCTTATCATATCGAACATGACTCTCTTCAGTCTTGATTTCCGGAGCTGGTTTGTAGATTTTGATACTGTCTTTCCTCTTAAGTCTACCACCAAGAATATTCTTAAGTTGTTCTATGTCATTTTGGCGAGGATGATCAGCTACAGATTCAAGAGCAATTTGAAAGGCCATTTGATCCTCAGCAGAGAGATTGGTCAAGATATAATCGTTTAGAGAATCACCATTCAGATTGTTCTTCGCTTCATCCAAAAAACGAAGGGCTGTGTTTACGTCCGATTCTAACTCCGAGTCACTGTCATTAACAGTGGCTTTTGGGATCTTTTTCCTCGTCGGTGGCATCTGAGATGTGAACGCACTTTGTGGAAAAGCACAAATTAAAACAAATTAAGAGACACTATTGATTAGTCAAATTGTATATGATGATGTATATGAATCAGATATGAGGTAAGCAAGATAAGAAAAGGAATTCGTAATCACAGTTAGTAACTAAGGATTTTGGTCTAAGTGAAATTTAGTTGTTCAAGATAATTTTGTCAGTGATAGTTTGTTCTAAGAGTTTTTTCTTTTTATTTCATTTTACGAGAGTCCATTACAATTTCTTTGTACACATAAGTTATACGCCGCAGTTCATCATTTAAGCGCCTCTGATAATTGTTGCAATAGAAAGATAAGGCGGTGTGACCAAAAGAATCACAGCTTCCACATCGCCAATGAATAGAATTTCCACTGTTTGGACAGGTTTCATGATAATGCCTAAGGAACAATTTAAGCATTTTACACTGTTTTACATTTGAATCTTTATGACCATATTGTACAGCGTTCACAAAATTTGATTTGAAAGTGATCAGTAAAAGGTATTATATTGTCACCAATAAAGATGGTCTTTTCCCTGAGGGCCTCTCTGGTGTTCTCATCAACACTAAGAATTAGTATTTTAGTTTTGTTGCTCGTAAAAACCATTTCAATTTTAGCTTTGCCAAACCAATTGTTGCAAGCATAAATTCTATCCAATAGGTTGATGTCACTAATGGATTTGCAGATATTGTTGCCGGAAATAATAAGCTTTATCCTCGGTTGTCTCTTAATTGGTCTATCCACAGACCAGTTTTTTCTTTGTTTTAAGGTATTAATAATCACATTGACTAAAGTCTCATCTTCATCCAAATTGATTCTTGCACATGTAAAGCCTCTAAGAACTTCAAGTCTGGTGGCGTATTGTTGAAGGGCCATTAACACTAATTGTTTAGTTTGATAACCATCCATAAAATCACCTGTGGCTGTGTCCCAGATCCGTACAATGAGAGTGTTGGCTTTATTGTTAATTTTACTTAGAACTGGAATTACAGAAAACATTTTGAGAATTGTATTTATTTATTTGATGTTAACCATAAGGCTTTAGGTTGTCATCTGATCTAAAATTTTGATTCTAAATTACCGTTGTTCCAGCATTTCCGCAGCGAAGACGGTCAACCGATCCTGTTCAGGATTCGAATCTGAAAATGAAGATCCATTTGTGGAATTTTTTGAAATTCCCGCTTTTCTGTTGGAGAAAAAAGTTTCAAGTTTCAAATTGAACTTTGTTCATCTTTTGTTTCTCGCAACTACAACATTCTCGTACTGTTAATTAGGTGTGGTTAATTTGGTGAAATTGAATTAAATTCGACACATTTTCTTGAATCATGAGTAGTTTATATCCAGTGTATTTCTATTTCGAACCCCCTTTCCCTATTAAAGAAGAAAATTTATTTCGTTTAAGAGTCACCTGGGAAAATACCATTGAATCTGATGAAATAGTTTCATTCAAATTGACCAAAGGAGATAAATTGACTCGAGCAGATATGATGGTTACTCGGAAATGTCGAGCCAAAATGGGCAAATACCAAATGATTTTATCGATGTTCTGTAAAGTTGTTGCTGTTTTTGACTTGGTTTCTGAAGAAATTGTCGACATGTACTTGAGAAAAGAAAAATTCAATGGAAACGAATGGAACCTTTTATGTGATTCTCTACGTGCTTTCAGGAAAGTATCCATCGAGATACCCGAACTTTGAGAGCAAACGAAGCCTTAGTTAATCGTTTCGAGGATGGAAAAATAAGAAAATTTGTCAAAATTCCTCGTCATTAATTGGATGAAGCAAACCTAACATGATGGAACTTTTTTGTTTCCGTAATTTTTTGTATCCATAAAAATTGACTTAATCACATGTTTAGGACTTTGGGAGTACAATTTTGTATATTCAATTCCAGGCTTGAATTAAATTAGATTTTTATTTCAATTTTATGATTCTTTACATTAATCGGTGTAAAAAGTGCAAAGTCAATTGTATGTGTTTTTTTAAGCCCAGAGGTGTTTTCTTCACGTGTGATCTGCTGGTTATCCCAAAATTTGTTTGACAAAATAAGAAGAAGCAAAAAAAAAAGTTTAGTTTATCAATCAAAGTCAATATGACTTGAGAGAAATTATAAGAATTATTGTTTTTTCTTTGCTGAAGAAAAGCTAAGTAATAACGTCAACGTTGTTTGTGAACATTGGACGAGCAGCAACAAAATTGTCCATGAAAAATAGGGACGATCAATCCGTAAGGTCATTTTGATTTTTTAAGCAAAATTTTGAATGAAAATGATAACAATTTAGATACAGTGAATTGTAATAAAAAAGTGAAAGTTAATTATCATTAATTAACAGTTGCGATGCTTAATTTATCGATAAATCTTTCGGGTTGATGTGATGGTTGTTGTTTATCTCTGGTGATTCTTGGATCGTGGAAAAATTTACTACTCGTATCAGCGTCTGAATTTGACTTAATTGCTCGCCAATTGTCACAATCATCCGGATTGTTGTTGTCATTGATATCGAAATTTTTCAATTCAGTTGGAAAACCATTGGTCGAAGTGTTTAACTGTCCATTGGTTTTATTATCGTTCGGACCGATAGTTTGATCTTCTGAAAAACTGGTTTTAGGTTTACTTTCAAAGTATCTTTTCCAAGTTCGAGGTAAAGGCGGGAAACAACTCGAATCTGTGTAATAATCTTTGAAAATATGTTCATCTCGAAAGGGTTGCATTGCAATATACGAATGAATTAAAAGTCTAGGAAATCGCGATGTAAAATATCCAACAAATTCATCGGGAATCGAACCAAGTGATTTTTGTAAAGATGGATTCAATTCTCGGTAATGATGTTTCTTATTTCTTAAGCCTCGAAGTAAATCTCGTACTGAACCACCTCGATAGCTACGAAATTTGGTTAGATCACTTTGGAGATCTTCTGTTATGTGTCTTCTCCAATCTCCCTTGACCACATCGAATCCACCCTTCTCGAGAGATTGTACCGCTTCCGAATCTGGAGATGCTTTTTCCAATCTATCAGAAACATCTTGGAAAAAGGCCAATTGACGCGAGGGAATCCAAAATATTGGATGTTTAAGAATAGCCGCAATTGGAGGTCGTTCACCGGCTTTAAGGGTGATCATTGATTCAATTATATTGGTTTTAATTAAATTTTCCTCATCCGGTAAGGAGTCTAGGTTAAAACGCCCTTTCAAAATATTTGCTTGCCTTTCAATTGATTCACCGAACGGATGTTTACCCTTGGTAAGAACATAATAGAAAAGGCAACCAAAGGAAAATATATCAACAGGTTTAGCAAATTTAATTTGACCATTTGACTCTTTATCAAGTTTAGCTTGAATTACTTCAGGTGCTATCCAACCATCAGTACCTCGGACGATCCGAGTGGTCGCCATGAAATCACCGGACATTGAGGTTGTTTGATGAATTTGCTTGGAAACACCAAAATCAGAAATCATTATTTTCCTCGACTGGGAAGGCGGTAAAGGCATTGAAATGAGTATATTTTGTGGTTTAATATCTCGATGGACAATGTTAAGTGAATGAAGATGTTCAAGTCCAAGTGATGATTGATAAAGAATATCAATTGTGTCAAGTATCACATCACAATCAATTGTCTCTTCAATATAATCAGCTAAGGAGAAATGAGCCAACTCAATGCCGATATATTTAAAAAGCTCATCAGATTCGGTGGCAAAATAACGGATTAAATTTTGATGATGGAAAGTACGAAGTAGTTCAATCTCCCGTTCAGCAAGTGTGAAATAATCAACGATTACTCGTTTAACGGCAATTTGTTGGGTCTTTTCAAAATGTCCCTTGTAAACAAATGTACCCGATGATCCGTAGCCAATAATGTTTTTGGGATCAAAACTAATTTTTCCAATAGATTTGATTGTTTTATCGATTGAATGAGTTTTCCTTTTAATCAAAATGTATAAAACTATTGATGTACCAGCAGCGAATATAATTAAGGTGAAAAAACTTTCCAATAAAGGTTCAAAGAAACTGTACTCGCAAGAGAAATCTTTTTTGATCTGCTTCTTAACATCTTCGATTGCTGGTAAAGGTTCACGGGTCAAAGTGTAATCATTGGCATTCTTTGAATTGGTGATTAAATTGCTAACCATTATGTGTTGTAAAGCAAATTGTGGTGAAAATTTAACCTTAGTGTAACCAGGATACTCGTAGAAGCCAAAAAGTAACATGTTGATGTAATCATTGAGCAACGATTTACCTCCATCTTGATTGGCTTTGTTTGGTTCACCACCAAGTGGACCTTCAATTAAAGGTAATGGTGGTTTTTTACTGCTTATTGAGAATAGACTAGTTTCAGATACATCAACATATGAAGATAAAGCATAAATTGATCGGGTGCTTGCTGATTCACCAATATACAGGGATGGGAAAAGTTTAGCACGAGATTTGGTTCCGTCGTCATTGAAAGTGGCCTCTAGGTAACCTCTTAATGAGCTGCCAACCGTTGAAAAGGGAATACGACGGATTGGACCAAATTTCGGGTCTAAATGGAAATGATAAACTGCTACAACCGGAGAGTCAAGTTTCTGGGTCCAAATTATTGATGGATCACCATTGGAAAATAAGTCAATGGTTGCAATTTGACCGGTGGTTGATGAGGTTAAATGAAGAAATTCATAATTCGATTGAGGAATAGCACCTGAGGCTGAACTTGAATAATCGACAACTGTCATATTCCACTTTTTGGATCGGGTTTCGGCATCAAAAATTGATAGATGATATTTTGTTTTACCCAACATAAGGATCTCACTGCTACTAGGAGGAGATGGTGAAGATGTAGATGTTGGTGTCGGTTTAACTTGATCATCTTTCATTTTACTCTCGGAATCTTTGGATAAATTTGGACAAGTTGGACTTTCCGAACTAAGTGTTTCCAATTTTTCACCAGTTTGAGCATTAATTGCCAACCAGTAGTCAGATTTTTCACCAATATATAATAATCCATCACTACTACGACAAGGTGATGCTGAAACGATCTCATGAACGGTAAACGGAAGTTTCTCCAAGGTGTCAACACTTTGATCTTCGGTTAAGTTTAAATTGATTTCAGCTTCAGGTGGTCGATTAATTAATGAATTATATTTATACAATGATCCATCCTTTGGATCGGGTAAAAAGAGAAGCTGATCTTTGGTTTTAACTATACCAGAAAGAGGTGGTAAACGAACTGCTGGTTCCTCCCTCAGCGACCATTTAATTAAACCAGATCTTTGACCGATGGCATATAAATATCCATCTAAAAGAAAAACAAAGAAACAAAAGGATATTAGAAATTAGATTAATACATAAATTACGATAGATATACAATGACTGTGGATATAATAGGAAAAGGATTTAAATGAGATGCGAGAAATTGAAACAAAAAGATTATAATTAAAGATAAAGACAAAGAACAATGGAAATTAACACTCACCGAGTGTGGATACAAGTAGAGTTGACTCAAGAACGCTGATGGAAGATGCATCTTGCGAATTTCCAACCGAGCAATTGATCAGCAGAACGATCAAAATGGTACAAAGTAATACCATATTACGATTTCTCGTCATTATGTGATAATAATTTGGACCCAAAAAGGTGTGAAAATAATAAAATGAAGGCCCAGAAGTAACAAAAAAAATCGAGAGAAAATCAAAAAAATAAAGCAAAAGATGAGCAACAGAAAATCATTTTTTCAAAGCTTTTAAACACAAATTGATTACAAAAAAGTATGTACGTAAGTCATGACAGTTGAAGTAAATATTGCACCAAAGAAAAAATAACAAATTAAAGAATAATTAAAAAATAATCAAAGGAAACAATTAATCCTTTCAATTCTTTTACGGTTCACCATCAACACCATGTTGATTTTTGATCACTTGGGAACAAAGAAAACAAAACGTATCAGTAAGTCACATTTTCTAATCAATTAGAAGGACAGAATCAATTGTTCGCCATACTGATTGTCACAATTAGAATTAATCAAATATTTTTGAGGAAAAAGTTGACAATTATAATAAGAAATTAATTTAATCTAAAGAAAGAGATTAAATGTTTTCACTTTCATTTCTTTTCTTTATTTTTACTTAAAGCATTACACTGGCCTCCTTAGGCCCAGCAGTTTTGAAACTACTGCGGTGAGTGAGTACAACTCATTGAGGGATTTTGGAATTTGGGGTTGGTGGTTACAATTATTATTATTATTGTTATTTTAGTATTGAATTGAGTAATTGTTGAATTCTTTGGAGGCCAGTGTAATGTATTTCCCTATCTCTTTATATTCGTTTAAATTTTGTGGTGTTATTTGGTTTCCATTCCATTCAATTTCCAGTATTTCGGCTACTATTAATAATAATGTTGGACATATGATTGTGTGGTGATTTTTCGTGTGGTGTAGTGGGCAGCATGGGATGATGTTTGTCATGGAGATGTTTTTCTTTGACCATAAGTTTAATATTGTCCAATATGGTGTTTTCCCGATGAATCCATAATTGTTGGTGATTTGTGTGTATTCAGGTAGAGTTAACCATATATCTTCTTCTTCTTTTAACCATTTTTCGTGTCTAATATTAATTTCTTCTTTTGCTTTTGCCATCCATTCGTTGGTTGATATCCAGTTTGTTGTTATTGGTCTTCTTATGTAAGATTTAAATTCGTTTTTATAATATTTACCATAAGTCCATTGCCATTGTAATGAGAGTATCTTTGATAAGAGAGAAAAGGTGTCATTAGAAAAATTTGATGCCGATGTTGTGTTCATATTAAATTGTTTTGGTATAATGATTATTTTGATCGGTAATTGATTTTCTTGGATGTTATTGATTTGACAATATATTATTAATAATAACATATTCCATCCTGTTCTGGTGTCACAGGTTGTCGTTTCACTATCATTGTTGACACCAATATTAATTTTTTCATCTTTTATGTAGTAGTTGATTGATTGTTCAAATCTGCAGTGTGTAAATCGTTGCATTATTTCTGTTTTCCTTTTTTGATTCACTTTTTTTAGCTTCGGTGGCATATTTATTTCGAAGTCGTTTGCTAATTTGTAGTTCGTCTCGTGCGACCATTCCAGTGCTCTTAACCATTTGTTTATCATTGGGTGGTCGATTCCAAATATTATTTTCATGTAACTGCTTGAAGAAGTTTGTGGTTCCAAAGTTGAAAAGAATGAATCAGATATTTTTAAATGAGACAGATATTCTTTCTTTGATTGTTTGAATACCCAGAATCCGATTGCATTGAATTTGGGGATCAGGATGTTTTGTATTATTAATTTTTTCATTCGGAATGGCAAGGTAATTAGTGTACTTTTTTTGCATTTGAGAGATGATGTAAATTGTTGATTTTTTCGAAGCAGCTTCAGTCTCATATCTGTTGCAATGAATGGTCTTAAAGTCCAATATCCAGTAATTAGCATTTCATTTAGTTTGTTGCCTCTGTAGATTTTAGTCTTTTCAATGTTGATTTTTAAGTTGATCTCTTTCATGTAATGTTCAACCTGTCTTATTATTAGGTTTTTGTCGACATCATTTCTTACTCTAATAATAATATCATCCGCATATGATAATACTTGGATGTTTCGATTTTTTAGTATTCTTATTACGTGATCCAGTGCCATTATGAATAGTAATGCAGATGAGGAACAGCCTTGGGGTACACCATAACCATCTTCGCACTTGTACAGGTATTTATTTTGCCATCTAATTTTAATGAATCTTTTCCCGCAGAATGATGTTATCAGGTTGGTTAACGATGGATTAATGTTTTTTAAATTATTAATAATTGGTGTAATTGAAACTTCATCAAAAGCTTTTTCTAGGTCAAGTTGAATAATATCGTATTCTTCGAAGTTTGTTTTGAAAGTTGTTTCGAAGATGAAATTTTCTCTTGATGAGTTTCGAATATAAGCGAATTGAGTATCAGGAAGTAGATATTCATCTATTATTTCATGTAATTGTAGCGATATGAGGTAATCAACACATTTGAATAAGTAGTTTGGTGTTTTTACTAATCTTATTTTGTTTGATTCTCTCTTCGGTATGAGACCACCACCAAGTAATCTCAATGATGATGGTATATATGATTGTTGGAATATTATTAATAATATTTGGTGAATGTGATGTTGATTTAGTTTGAAAAAATGATTCCAAGTTTTCTTTGTATAACCATCAGCTGTAAGTGAAGATTTAAGATTTTTTTGTTGATTGATTAGCTGGTACCAGTGATTTTCATTTAATTGTCCAGGTTTTGGTTCAAAATTGTTATCTTCGAATATTGGTTTTGATGTTTTGAAATCTTTTATAATATTAACAATTGCTTGTTGATATTTTTCTGGTATGTTTTGACTCATTATCTGGTTGTTATTCGGTCGTTTTAAAATTTCCATGGCTTTCCAGAAACGAATTTGTTCAGGTAATTCTTTCTTTTCCATCATCGATTTTATACATAATTTTACTGAATGTTTCTTTCTTAGATTTTTCAGTTGAGTTTTCAGTATCGTTGAATTATTTTTCTTAATTTGTTTCCTTAATTTGTTCACGTTTTTTGATGTTCTTCTTTGATATTGATTTGTCCATGAGCCAAATTGTTCTGGAGCTTTAATGATTTTATTAATATTTAATATTAATTGAGAGTGTTGGTTGAGATTGTTTGATTTTTCTGGTGTTGTTAGATTTAATTTTTTCGGTTTAAAGATGAGTTTCTTTGTTGGTGGTTCCTTGTAGTTTCTGGTGATCAGTAACTTTGCATCTAATATTAGATGATCATTGATATTAACACGTAGTAATCGTTTTTCTAATATTATTGTCGACGGTGTTGATAATATTGCATCGATGTATGTATATTTTTCACCATTCACATAAGTAAAGTTGCCAGTTTTCGGGGGAAACACTGAGATGATTGGTTGATTCACAATGTTAATTTTTTTGCACTTTTCGAGTCTTGGTGACCATAGTTGATGTTCGAAGTTGAAATCTCCACAAATAACAAATGGACTTGCAATATGATTCATTTCTTCTTGGAGTGATGACCAATATTTTTTCTGGGCCAATGGTGATGTGTGGGCTGAATATGTACTTATGAATGAATAGATGTAACCATTATTATTAATTTCTATTCCTATTGTGTTTTCTGTGTTCATCATTAGATCTTTACTTTTGTAGTTTCTATTTATCATTAGAGCTGATTGTCCATTGAAGAATATGTTGAAGTTTTCATGGCTGATACAATTTTTCTTGAAAATTGTTTCTTTATCAATTTGATTGATTAATTTTTCTGGTAGAAAGGATGATGGTAACTCATTTATTGAAATAATTACTTTTTCTTCATTTGTCACTTGTAATAATTCATTTAGTTGATCACTTTTTTTTCCACAATTCCAATGAATAATGTGGAACATTTTCTTATTTTTATTAATAATGTTGATTTAATTATACTGTTTGTTTTATTAACGGATTTGATTTAAACTTTAACGGTTTTAAATTCGAATTTTAATTGAAAAAAGAATAGAATGTTTTACATTTTAAATTTTTGAATGGTCCCTTTTTTGTTGCTATGGTTATTATTAGTTAAGCTTATAAAGCGGGTAAAGTTTTTGTTCAAAAAATTGTTGAAATATTATTATTAGTTGAGGTGATTTGTAATCAAATTGAATTGTAATTTGTTATTATTATTATTGATTTTGTTTAAAATGTTGATTAAGGAATCGCAGATTTGTAATAATAATCAATGGAGTAAAAAATTTCTGTGTGGAATCTGTGGTAATTTGGCGATGGATCCAATGGTTCATGATGGAGGAAATCGTCGGCGTTTTTGTACCAGAGTTTTCTGTAGTACCTGTTGCTACCCTTTTAGTGATTGTCCACAGAACTTTCATTATAATAATTCTTCACGTAAACGAGAGGTTAAATGTCCTACTAATTGTGGTTTCGATTTTAAGGATCCTTACTTTCGGTATCTAAGTAATATTGAAAGAGAAATTTATGAATTAATTGATATTAATTGTGAGAAGTGTTTGGCTTCTTTTAAGTTGCGTGTTTTCCAGCAGCATTTTTTTAATTGTGGTAAATCTGTAGCTGTTGTTCAAAAGCCGATAACTAATTACCTGATGAATAATTTTGATGCTTTGGTTAATAAACGGAAGGAGCTGCATTTGATGGTTAATAATAATATTAACGACTTTATGCAGTTTCATTATGGTGAGTGTGTTGGTTCAGTTGAGTTGAATCTTCGTTCGGTTGTTGGTGTAACTCGTATTGATATTGAGCAAAGTTCGGATGTTGATGAGGCTAAGAAATTGGTGATGAAAAATATTGGAGCTAAAGCTGATATTGATTTGGTTTGGGTTGAGTATCGCTGTTTGAGTCAATTTAAAACTTTGGGTGACTTCTTGAAAAATATTCCACTTGATTCCGTTATTAATATTATCAAGCGAAAGGAAGAAATTGCTGTTGATGGAAAATTGGCAAAGGTTAAATTTCTTGGAAGTTTCAATTCAAAATGAAAAATATTATTATTATTGTTATTCTTTATGATTAGATGTTTGTATTACATCATTACTTACTTCAAATATTAAAATCATTTGATTAATTTCTCATAATCCAACGGTACTCATAATTTATGTGTTGAATTGCTTCTCGTAGCTTTTTTTGATACGTTGGGCAAATCCATTCATCCGCTTGATGTTGAAACTCAGGTGTATTATTAATACAGTTGATACACATCATTTTCTCCTTATTATTATTATGTGGACATTCACGGTAATGATGAAGAGATGAACAATATTTGCAAACTTGTTGATTCTGACACTTTTTGTCTTTATGCTGGAATGAGAAACATTTACTGCATTGGCTCACTTTGAAATAATCATATATTTTTATCTCTTTTCCCATGTAGTAGATGATTCCTCTGTTTTCATGAAATTTGTCTCTGATGGTTGGTGAGATTATTATTATTATATCAATGTGGTTGACAGTATTACATGTGTAAGCACCTTCGATTGAATATTTTTCATCAGGGGTAACGCCAGCCGCTATCATAATATTATCAACCAGTTCTTTGATTGCGCTGAGATCAGTTAAAGAGCCATCATAAAATACTTTGGCAAGTCTTATCTTTGGATCGAAAATTTTTGGTTTTAGAATTTTCAATTCTGGTAGCCATTGTTTAAGATTATCCATGTTCATTTTTCTCGTCATGTTATCTGGAGATTTTATTCGAAGAGCATCATTATTAGTAATAAAGGTGCCAAGTATTGGTGCGAGTTGTTTAGCTTCCATGGCTCTAATAATATTGTCTCGTATTTCCACCGGTTTTAGTTGTTCGTGTTGAACCAGAAAAAGTGGTTCCATTAGTTGTGTTGACCAAGGTTTCCACTGACTCGGAATTGGTCTATCTTCAATTCGATAAACTGTTTTCCTTACTTTTTTTGCTGTATCATATGTTATTTCAACATTTTCGTTGTGAAGATTAAAATTGATGAATTGGCGTTTTAATGGTTTATGGGTGAGTGGTGGGGTTTCTCTTTGGGTTATAATAATTTCGGCTGGTTGTATGGCGGATGTGCTTGGTTGTATGGCGGATGTGCTTGGTTGTATAAACGGGGTGTTGGATTGTTGATTTCTTGCAGGGTTATTTGTTATTGTTTTTGCTGCTGATGTTTCATCATCATTTTCTTCTTCGACTGTATGATTAATATTATTAAGATCTGGTAGAATGATACTTGGTGGTAAGTTAATAATCTCTTCCATTATTTGTTGCTCTCGTTGGTCAATTGGAGGACCGGTGTAATTTTTCTTTAACCAGGTTATTACCCATCTCATTTTGTATTGAGTTGCGTCTCCAATTCTTAGTTTTTTCAACAGTTGAGGAGATTTCAATCCAATTATACACGTTTTCGCCATTTCAAAGATTTCGCACATACTAATCTTCTTTATTTGCTCATTAAAATCAATTTTTGAGATTAATTTCTTTGCGATATCAGTCTTTAGCTCCTTTAGTTGTTGTTCCATTATTATTAATGAACACCTGTAGTTTAATTTAATTGAAAAATTTAATTAATTGATTATTATTATTAGAAGGGTGTGTGTGCAGAGCACGTTGTTAGTGTGTGGCTTACGCCCCGGTTTTGTTTCAGTTTATTTTGTGTTTTATATTGTTGTTTTTCATATTTTTATTTTACTTACTTGATCTTTGGGTGTTTGTTATTTGAAATTTGACACTTTTTGCAATTAATTGTTGTTAAATTGTTGTTAATTATTAGTTAATTATCACTTCCGGTATAGAGAACTATTCTTTTCTAAATGTAAACAGTGAATGAAGAGCGACACCGACGGAAAGAATTGGAAGAACAAAACTTTTCTCTTCTCTTTTTTTTTCTCTTTCTTTTCTTTCTTTTTTTCTGTTTACGTTGCAGATTCTCTTCATCTTGTTCTGTCCTTTTAATCGTTTCTCTTTCATATTCTCCGGATGAAACTCACCTTGAAACACAATTTTCTCAAACCTGATTACTTTTAATAGCGAAAAAGGTGAGAAAGTAAAAGTTATTCAAAAAAGAACAAAAAAAAAGTTCATCATTTGTGATGTTCATTTAATTATCGATTTTTATTATGCAATAGCTGAAGAAATTTATATCATCACGTTAATTCTGATGCAATTGGAACAATTTATTTCCATTAGGAAGATTATTTAGCTTCTTTCTCTTCCTTGGGAAATTTTCCTATTCAAGAATCAGCTGTTGCTCTTTTGATCAAATTGTTGTTTACTTTTCGTGATCAACTGTTGATTAGAAAATAGATCATAATAATTGACAGAAAAACACTTAATCATTGTTAGGATAAATTTGATATAATTGACAAAAAGATGAAACAAAAGAAAATGATTAAGTTAAATTTCAATTTAAAAAGTAAAAAATATATTGAGTAATCATCGTAATGTTTATGTGTTAACAAAAGTTAACTTAATTGTTACTAAATCATTAAATTGTCAAACATTCACAGATAATTATGATCAACTTAAATAACTCATTTGTTACTTTTTCAAAATAAAGTCACTCTTATAAACAACATGACACTAAATTGTTTCTCCTTTGGTAGTTGTGGTGTTTTAAAGGGACAATTAAATTGTTATTGTTAATTAAGAGAAATCAGAAAATGCGATGTAAAATCTGATGTCTGATAATTGCGATGTTCATATGTCTTTGATTGTTTCAACAGTTATAACGTTAATTTTGTGATCACAAAAGAAAATACAAAAAAAAATCATCAGTTAATCATCTTTAAATTAAATTGTTCTTATTTTAGTCTTTCTCCAGTCTCTTGGCCAAGGTAACAAATGGGAAAATGAATAAGGAACAGAATTTGCTTTTTGTTTTAACACTTAGTGTTAAATTTAATTTTCTTTAGGTTAATCAGTTATAAGTTGGTGGAATCTTTTTACCACCAGTTATCTCACCCCAACCTATCAATCTCCAATGTCCTTCTACTCTTCTACTAAGAGCAATTTTCTCCTTAATCTCCACACAAACGGGAGTTTGTAAACTAATCTTAGCTAAATCCGCTTTAGCTGCTTGGACTCTTCCTCCGGTAGACAATGAACCAATATTAAGCATTAAATTTTCTCCTCTCTCAAGTTTTTGGACCTAAGAAGAAAATAAGATGTAATTGTAAAAAGAAATGGTTATTAGTTATTAATTCTTGGATCAAGTTGATGACGAAATTGAAAATATTCCAATAATAATATTCTAAAATTTACCTTGGCAGCTTTTTTAGATCCTTCCGTTCGAACACCAAGTAATCGTCGAAGTAGATAATAAGCTATTTCCAATTCTGAGTAAATATCTGGAAGTGTTTCAACCGATCCTAAGACTTGTCCAACCATACGATCACCTCGAGTTAACATGGGATCTATTTTGGTTCCAACACCAATTAGACCACCAGGTACAGCGAATTGGAGATCATTTTGATCGGCAAAAAGTGATGTTATTTGAGATTTGATTGGAGTACAGATAAATTTTCCAGTTTCATCTTTTGAAATAAGGCCTGGTCTGACTTCAATTGGCATGCCTACTTTCAATACTCCTCTTAAAAGGGATCCTCCAGCAATTCCTCCCTTAATGTCTTCAACGTCGCAACCAGGTTTGTTTACGTCAAAAGATCTAATAACTAAGGAAGAAAAAAATAGAAAAAAAAGAGAGATGAAAATATTATTCCAATAGAAGGGTAAGATCAGAATGGTTGAAAGAGAGGAAATAAGAGAAGCGTAAAGATAACAATCAAAGAAGAATAAAAATAATCAAGCTCACCTATGAGACGAGGTGATGATGTGAAGTCTCTTTTAGGTATGGGAATTTTTTTAGTTATATATTCACATATAACGTCAATGTTATATTTAAGTTGAGCAGAAATTGGTACAATTGGACTTCCTTCTGCAACGGTTCCTTGGATAAATTTGGTAATTTGCTCATACTGTTCTTTTGCTTGTGATTCTTTGATCAAATCAATCTTATTTTGAAGGATAAGAATATGTCGTAAACGCATAATCTCAATGGCTGCTAAATGTTCAGATGTTTGAGGCTGTGGGCAGGTTTCATTTCCAGCAATTAACAACAATGCAGCATCCATAACAGCCGCTCCATTAAGCATGGTAGCCATAAGAATATCGTGACCCGGACAATCAACAAAAGAGACATGACGCAATAATCTAAACCTTCCCGTACAACCAGGTCGATCACAAGGAAAATCATCTTCCTTACTACTTTTTTCAGCCCGATAACAACCAGGTCTTGGACATCCTTCAAAGTCACACTTGTAAATTTTGGCATTTGCATAACCCAATTTAATTGTAATGTTACGTTCTAATTCATTCTTGAAACGAACCGTTTGAACACCTGAAATTGCTTTGACAACCGTTGATTTACCATGAGCTACATGACCAATTGTTCCTATGTTGATAGTTGCTTGTCTACTAATGACCTCAGGAGTTAATGGAGTTAATTCACTTTCAACCTAAAAGAGAGAGAGAAAGGAAACATTCAAAAAAAAAGGAGAAAATAAAACAGAAAAAGGGGGAGGAGAAAAAAAGACCAAAACAACAAGAAAAGAGAATTAGATAAAAACAAAGAGCAAAAAGACTTCAAGATGGAAACAATTTTCATGCAAAGAACAAAACATGTAACACCGATTAAACCATCGATAACTAACCATTATGAAGACAATTAAATTCACTAGAAGGATAAAAAAAATAAACACCAAGAACCAGAATAAAAAAACTATTAATCTCAACACTTAAGAAAAAAAACAAACCGATTTATGAGGAAGCGGAAAGAGTTTTAGAAAGAGACTGAAAGTTTATTCGCCGCATGTACAGATGGCGCTGAACTCAAATTCTGAGGGACCACATATGAAATGCGAAAAGAATTGAACTGAATTAAAATGAGAAGAAAAAAAATTTACTTAATTGTTATAATCGAAGTTTTTAGTTAATTTGTTTTGAATGTGGAACGCGATATCAATCAACTAATTGTAACTTTATTTAGAGAATAAGAAAATGGAAAGATGAATAAATAAATGACTAATCGAAGAGAAGAAAAAAAAAACAAATCAACTCAATCAAAGTCCAATTAAATTAATTATTTGTGACAATTGATTGAGAATTGATTGTCAATACTTAAAGAAATTGGTTACTATGGTTAAGTGAAAAGTTAATCATGATTATTGTGATATTCAAATGTGTAAATGAGTAAAAACAAATAATAAAAGAAAGTCTAATTAGCAACAAATGATAATCAATGAATGAGCAATTAAGGTTAACTATGAATTAAATAATCAACTAATTCATTGACTTATTAGTCAGAGTCACTTAAATCACTAGTGTAAAACCATTGATAAAGTAAACAACCTTGTTGCCTGATTAGATTAAATAATGTTGATTAACAAGTGAAACGATTAGTTAATTACAAGACCGATGAGAAGAAAACAAAAAATTGAAACTAAATCAATTAAATCATCGCGTTAATTTCATCTTCCTGTTAGTCACCATTATTTGATTAAGTATCATAGCAAAAAAAAAGTGAATAACAACAAATTGAATAATAGTAACAATTAGCATTGAGAAAATTAACTTTTTTAATTGTCTCTGTTTCTTTTGTACAATTAACAACGACAACGACAAAAAAAAAGTGAAATGATCAAGGTAAAATTGGTCATTTATACAGGGACACCACCCAGTTGATGACAATCAATGATGATTGTTGATCATCAACAATGAAAATGTTACAATTAGGTGAGTTTAAATGAGCGACAAACAAGGTGATTAACTAAATTACAATGAGAAAAAAATTAACGTTCAAGAGATATTGAATTTCCTTATGAATGACAATCTGGTTTCGTTGTTGTTGAGATTACAAGTAATAAGTTGATTACAATTATAATGAAACATACTAGACAATTAACATTAATCAAAGTGATCGATGATTAAAAAAAAATATAAATCCAATTGAAATCCAAGAGTAAACAATCAGTACAGTCAACTGGTAATTAGAAGTTCAATTTAATCCCAATAAGTTTTCGAGACTCTTGAAACTTTGGTTCCAGAAAGCGAGAGAGAGAGAGAGACAAAAGTGAATCAATAAAATAATCAGCTGATAATCAGAAAACCGCCGGTAGGCATGATAATGAGAATCATGATTAAGCTAAATGATGCCGGTTAAAATGATAAGATAACAATTAACCATCAATCGTAATACTAAAACAAAAAAACTGTTCAAATAATCTAGTCATCATGATGAACCTTTGTGTCCATCCAATAAGTTTCACCAGGCAAATCCAAGGATCCAATGACGATGACGATATAATTATTGATGATGATAATGATGATGATGATGATGCTTTTGTTACAAGAAGATAGGAGAAAATGTGAATTTTCATCAAGGTAAAAACATATTGATCCTAAATCATCATCATGAGGGTCTCTCTCTCTCTCTCTCTCTCTCTCTCTCCATGATGTAAACAGATTGATAAAAATTGCAAGGAAAAGCGAAAAGTTTCCGGTAAAAAGCTAAAGAGCATGGATGATAAAGAAAGAGAAGAAGAAGATAAAGAAAGAGGAAAATCAGTGAGTGAGAGAGAGAGAACAAAATCCATCTGATCTTGTTTTACACAAGAAAATCCTTGTCATCCTCATCATCTTTTTTTGTTGTTGTTAAAACCTCGTCATTATAATGCTTTTGTGTGTTTACCCAATCGTTTCAAGGTAAATGGTGATAAAAAAACGCTTCTATTGATTCAGGTTGGTTATTGTTTGTATGTGGTGGTGATTGTTGGTGAATTCAGAACAGAAAATCAGTAAACATGAGGATCTGAAAGGAGAAAGAAAAAGAAAAAGTTAAAACAAAATCTCATTGATCGTTGGTTAAGAATCAACTTGAGTAAACATAAAGGGTCAAGGTGATGATGGTCATGGTGGAAAGTGACAGGGTCCACTTGATATAAGACGATCATTAGTACATTTGTTATTACATTTGATTGTTGTGATTATGATGGTCGATAAACAATTGGTAAGAATTGATTATTATGGATACGATTAGAAATTAGGTAAATGAATACAGACCTTGAGGTTGAATGATGAATATATTCAATCAAATTAGTTGTGTATTTAGATTGTGAATAATCATGATTGATCAATTATCATCATCATGTTGATTAGTGAATCAAATTAAATCAGATGTGTGTTTCTCGCAATATTTTTCTAAGTCTTCATCTATCATTTTCCTTAATTGTTTACTCTCTCTCTCTCTCTCTCTCTCTCTCTCTCTCTCTCTCTCTCTCTCTTGTCTTTATCTTGATTTGTTTTGCTTTTTTTTTCTTTCATATTTGTTGATTGATTTTGTGTTAGTTAAAACTATCCATTAGTTTGTTGATTTGATTGTTGTCTCTCTCTCTCTTTTTTATATCCTTATCCTAATCCTCCCGTTTTTCTAATCCACCAGGAGTAATAATTTAAACTCTCAACCAATTGGTTTGTCGCAATTTGACAACAATTAGTGTCTTTCTGTGTTCTGACTTCTTATCCTTAGTCTTTGGCACCCAAGAACCCACGAGTTTTATAAACAATCAACGGTGAATTCTTCCAGTGCCAAGGATAAAGGTTCAGAATTGGTTGAGAATTGCAAGACGAAGTGAGAAAACATGATGTCAATGATCATGATGATTTAAGACGATGGAAAGAGAGAGAGAGAAGGAGGGAGAGGGAGAGATGAAAATGATAGAGAATATGAAGAACAAAAAAAAAATGAAACAACAATAGAGATAAAACATAAAACTAATTGTAGTCACCTGAAGGACACAGAGAGAAGAGAGAAGAGAGAGAGAGAGAAAGGAAGAGAAAAGGTAAGAAAAGATGATGATGATGATGAAGATAAAATAGAAGAAAGAAAAAAAGAAAACAGGTTTAGACAGCAAAGAAGAGGAGAGAGAGAATAAATTGATGCAGAAGAGAAGGAATAATTTTCTTTTCTCTTCTAGGTTTTCTCTCTCTCTCTTTAAGCCAAATCAAAATTTTCTCATGTTGATGTTTATGTAAAGAATTTTAAAGGCCTAATCTTCATTCATCTCTCTCCATGGTTGTTGGTTGGAAATGTTTAGTTGTAGAACCGACAAAATTCATGTTGATCGTGAGTGTGTCATGGTGAAGATCAAGGTAGATGACGATGGTCAAACAATTGTAATTATATTTAATGTAGAGAGAGAGAGAGAGAGAGAGAGAGAGAGAGACCGTTGAAATGAAGACACCGCTGCTCTTCACAGCACTAGAGAAACCACGGAATAACATTGAGTTCCCGTGAATTCTTCCAGTGCCATAGAGAGAAACAGATAGAGAAAGAAAATAAAAATGGATAACAGAAGCAAAGAAAAGAAGATGAGAAGAGAAAAAAAAAATAATAGAAAATTGGAACAAAAATAAAATGAAGAAAATTGTGTTTGTTGGTTTAGAGTAGAAATAAATGAGAAACAAGAGAAAAAACAACAGAATAAAATCAATTGGAAAACGATAATCATGCCGCAGGGGAAGTTGAGTAAACAAAATCAAAGTATTAACATGAAATACAAAACATTGGAAATCACTGAGAATTTTAAAGATCAAAAGTGTATCATGAGAGAGAGAAAAGAAATTGCAAGAACATTGAAAAAAAAGGTAACACAACAGGTTGATGTCGGGAGGGAAATGAGGATAAGTGATGTTAACGATGTCTTTATATGTGAAGAGTGAGTGAGAGAGAGAGAGAGAGAGAGAGAGCGAGGGAGAGGAAGAAAGGGAGATGAAAGAAAGTAAGTAAAGAGAAAGCGTGTTGGTGGTGATGAGAAAGATGAGGAAGAAAGAAAGATGATGATGAGAAAAAGAAAGGAAGAGAGGGAGTGAATTTTTTTTTATTTCTTCTTCTCTCTTACTTTATTTTCTCTCTCAAAACAACTTTATGATCAAGAGAGCATGAAACAACAAGTATTGAGAATAGGATGATGATGATGATGATAATGAGGGGTGGAAGATATTAGTTACTTTGGGAGACACCGAGGTAAAAATTGTCTTCACTCTCTGTGAAAAAGTCTCTCTCTCTCTCTCTCTCGTCATCATCATCTTCTTACTTTAATCAGTCAATTCTCACTTCTTACCTTTCTCCAAATCATCTTAAATCTTTTTCTCATCTTCTTCATCATTTTCTCTCTCTCTCTCTCTCCTTTGTTTATTGACTTTTTTTTCTTCAAATCATCCAACTCTAACTTTTTTATTCTTCTTTCGCATTCATCTTCATCTTATAACTTTTCCAAATCATCCAAGTTTCTCTTTCTTTCTCATCTTGTCTTCTCTCTTTTTCTGATCATCATCATCTTCTCATAGGTACTCAGGCTTGAACATCAAAGCCCCGGTTCCAGGCAACAGGATGGTTGAAGTTTCGCTTGGACAATTTGAAACAGAATTGATGTTTAGGTTACAACAGAAAAAAGTTTTTTCACCGAACTTTGAGAAAGAAAAACTTTTTTTCTTCTCTTTTTTAGAACTTTTCATCTTCGGGGTCTGATGATGATGATCATCTCTCTCTCTCTCTCTCTCTCTCTCTTAGATTTATCTTCTTTCTTTTGTATGTGTGTGTGTGATTTTTCATCTTCATCAATTCCTCTCCCTCTCACGTTCATATTTTTTCAAGTTCAATATGCTACTCATCTTCATCCAACTGACCATTCACTTAACTTGATGACCACTTCTCGATAGTTTAAGTTGTTATAGTTAACAAATTACACCTTAATCATTATAATCATTCAATGATCAATTCAGTTTCTCAAAATTATGACTTTTTT